AGATCTGTGATATAGACTTGCCAACAGAAGGTGACTTTAACGCCACAATTAAGGTGCGGGTGTAAGGATCAGTATTAGGAGACATTGTAACGATAGATACAGACAAATCGTACAGCTACTCAGCTCAAAGGTGGGAGTTGCGCCAAGAAGAGTTATGCCGAAGCGCCGAGATTAGCGTGGGACAAAACTTTTGTGAGGCACCTCCGTACAGATGTCTCTTTTTGCGGGGATCGTCTGCCCAACCCTGCTGACCCCCTTGCTGCCTCTGCTAGTCGACCGCTATACTACACTACACTACACTACACCACACTACACACCGCAGGGTACACGACGCCTGTGTCGCACACGCACTCGCAGCAGAGCCCTCGACCTCGCGCACACACGCACACACGAGTCGCCGATCGACAGACGGCGCCAGAATCGATGATTTTATTATTATTGCTTCTACATATGCCGTCGTCTCGCCTGGCTCCGGGGCGCGCGGTCAGTGCTTGGGCCGTGCCCAGCTCCTTGTACATCGTCATCTACCCACGTCAACCTCGGTCGTGCACATAAGCTCCTCTCCCACAGCCCACAGCAAACGCCACAACAAACGCCAAACCCGGCAAGGGAGGGCCGTCCTGCGCGCGAACTGGCTGGCTGTATCCTCTCGCTCCCACTCCCACTCCCACTCCCAGGCCGCGACGCCGCCCCAGTGCGCGGGGCCATGTCGTGTACGAGCATTTCATGGCAGCCAGGCCTCCGCCTCCGCCTCCGTCCTGCACCCACACCCATGTCGCCCATGGGCACGGTAGTCCCTGGCAGCCCTTCCGATCGTCCGTTGATTTGTGGACTCGCCCCCAACAGCTCCTCGGGGCGCCCCAGGGTATCCGCACAAAACATGCTGGCTGAACTTCGGCAATACGTCTTGGGCAACTCCCTCCGCCTGACGCCCCAAATGTGCATCTAGATGATGGCCGTTGTAGTCATGTCCAAGGAACTAGCACATGCGCGCGCAGCACTTAGTCTACTTTGCCCTCAGTTAGCCTACTTTTCCACCGGCTCATCTGGTAAGCCCGAGAGCCCCCGGTCCTGGTAGTTTCTTCTCGACTGCTCCACCCGGCACCTAGGACGCGCAAAAAGTCACTCACGTCACCGACGGGCTCCCTCCGACGATGACCCATCGGTACCACGCTTTGCTCTACAAGTAGCATCGCGCCCACGCCAACCGGAATCTCGCGCCGTGAGCCAGCTTTGCGGCATGAGACGGGTATAGCGCCTGGTCGGGCGTGCCCTGTTCACTTGTCCTTGCCAGAGCCGTCACGGGGACGGGCCAACCTACTTGCTTGTACATGCTGCCATGTTACCATGCCAATGTCGGTACATGGCATTTCGCTGTTGCGGCACATGGAGCAGCCCTCCCCACACCCATGGCTACTGCATGTCAAAGCCAACCTGGATTTCGGTCGTCGCCCTCCATCAGGCCAGCCGCATGCCAACCTGGATTCAGGCCAGGCCCGCCCGCCCGCCAAACGGCGCGGCTGCTTTTCAACGAAGAAGTACTCACGTCGCCTTCTGCTGCCCCAGGATGCGGATTGGCCGCCACCCTTGTACCCCGCATGGAGGCGGCTCGCTAGCGCTATTGTTTCTTGAACTCTCCACTTGGCACCCTCGTAAATTTCAGAGCTTGCTTGGACACATGACCATGGAAGACGCTCGTCTGCTCGACGGGCAATCGTGGTGCGACCCTTCAGCACTTGGGCGTCGTTTTGTGCTCGACGGGACTTGCTTACTACTATAGCCAGGGAGTAGTAGAGGCATCCCGGTAGTCACAGTCCATGCCAATGAGGACGCTTGCTGAATCTTGGTGGCGCCATAATTCCTAGCCTACATACGTACTACTACTATGCTCGGAAATCACCCTATAAGTACTGGTTCCGTCAACGTAAGCACCATCCATGATTCTAGTCACGTTGAGAAAAGAGGGCCGAGCTGGGACTCCTTAATACAACATGCAGCGAAGCAACCATGGAATGTCTGGTTTCTTCGGGAACTGCGGAAAGGGGTCCACAGCGTGCTAGTAGGCAGTTGTGGTCCTGAAATTTTTCTAGAAAGTTTATTTATTCCGACAACCTTGACACGCTTGTTGAAACGGTGCATGTGCCCGAGAATGAGGTAGAGCCCCAGCAGCTAAGGCCGGTGCGAGTCAAATCAAAGTGCGTCAGCCCTTTAGTATTCGGGCCTACAATAGTACGCCAACAACAACACTCTCTCTCCACGACGCACCGACTTGTAGTGACTTGGACATCAACTTCAACTACATTTGATCCCCGAAGCCCTCCACATGCGCATCGTATGTGGGCTTCAAAAGGGCGAAAGGCGCTGACGCCATACCATAGAGCTCACAGGTCGGGCTGTGCACCCAAGGGCTGAAGGTCTTGGCGCTACTCCGCCTCGCCCTATGCCCTCAGGACCAGTGATGCTCAACGAAACAGCCACCGGCGACATGGCCTAGATCCATTGCCAGCCAGGAAAACACCACCACGATCAGGACAATGCTTATTGTGATGGAGTGTCCTGGCCAGCTTGTGCTGCAGCCAATCACCTTTGGCGCCTCCAGGCAGCCAGCAGGCAGCACCGCCTTTCTTTGAGTCAACAGCCTTTTCTTGAGTCAATTCGTCTTCTGGCTATCCGTATTTCTTTCCATCATATAACGCCCAAATTCCAAGGAAGCTACGATCTCATTCTGCCATCACCTCTACCATGGGCTCTCACCTGTCTCGAACGATCAGGCCGCCTGCGACAGCTGAGACCTCCGCCCTCGCGCCCGCCTCTCACGACACCAATCACGCAAACACACTGCAAAAACCACAAGAGCCTGTGCCGCAATTTTCCGAGACATCCCCTCGCCACAACCACAGCAACAGCTCTGATGTATTCCCAGCTGCCTTGCCAATGGCTTTACAAAGACGCCACAGCGCGCCTGCACCAACATCCGCCACAGCTGTAACCCCCGGCGCTGCAGAGACTGCCCAAGAACCCGCTGCCACTTTCAGCCTATTCCTCGAAGAGTACCGCTTGATGTCTATCCAACTTCCTGATGGTGAAACCGGCCCGCCCGCAGTAGCAACGGGCCCGCCCACGATAGAAACGGACCAGCGCCACAACCAGCACCCAAACAATGCACCATATGTTGCAAGTTCTTGCCTCTGGAAAAGAATTACAAGCACGGCACTCAGATCCTCAACCCTTGCTTGACTTGTTGGAGCACATGGTGTGTGTCATGCGTAAGGCAGATGTTCATCGATGCCTGTGTAGATATGTCGCGCATGCCTGCACGGTGTTGCCGTCCAATCCAGCTGCACTTTGCAAAGCTTGTCTTGACAAAAGAAGAGATGGACAGGTATAGAGCCAAGTACGAGGAATGGCTCACCCCAAATCCGCTCTACTGCCCCGTGCCTACATGCTCGGCGTTCATACCGCAACGACTTCTTCCGGAGCACACAATGACAAGTACAGAGCGCTTCGATTCTGGCGTTGCAACCCCAACTTCAAATACACTACCATGTCCGACTTGCGAGACCGACATCTGCCGGGACTGCCGCCAAGTTGCTCATCCTAATAGCGCGTGCACTGTCACCGAATTCGGTATCGACAAAGAGACGACCGAGCTTCTGAAGAGCTGGGGCTACAAGCAGTGCCCCAAATGCAAAAATGGGATAAAGCGCATGTATGGATGCAACCATATCGAATGCCGCTGTGGCGCTCGCTTCTGCTACGTCTGCTTTGGCGATCCAGATGACTGTGCAGGCAACTGTGTTGACGAGGAAGACCATGACGGCGAAAGTGACGACGGCTCTGTTCCAGATGATACGAACACAACCTCTGTTCCTTCTGGAGAGACATCTAATGCCCAAGACGAAGAGCAGAACAACGAGACACACGGTGTGCATGCTGCAACATCTGTGCGGCCCCGCAACCTCGATGGTGGAAGGTGGTCGTACTGGGAAGCTCAGAACCTAGACTTTGGTGAGGAACCGAATGATGAGCGCATAGACATTTCCTGGACCTGCTCGCACCATTTCGAGTCGTGCAAGACTACTTTTGCAGACGCCCTAGTAGGAGATCCTTCAGCCGCAGCGAGGGACTGCGTGAAGTGCTGGCGTGAAGTTTACCCAGAGATTGCCCTGCCTCACGGTATCCCGGAAACGGAAGACAAGACCATTTTCACAGGGCCAAGAGCGGCCTCTACACACACCGCATGCTCTCCCCTCTCGCAAAGCGTACCCGAACGTGGGCCCTGGTCAATGCAAGACAACACGCCGTCCGCTTCTGGACGCGTACTAGACATCTACCGTACCGTTGTTTCCGGAGCAGCGTCCAAGAAGCAGCGCCGGGCCTCCATGGACGATATTTTCACACTGGAAATGGAAGACCAGACTAGTTCAAAGCTAGAGATGGACTTTGCACACGAATGTATATGGTGCAGCATGTTTTTCTGCACTTCCTGCAGAGACGTTTGCGCTGCTCGCAGAGATGCGGAGCGAAGAGGCGAAGAGGAGAGAGAGTAATGATAATGGAGACGAGGAGGAATAGATGGAGGATGAAAGTGTGAGTGGTGATGCAATTAGGTTTGAGATTGGGGGGGGGGGTGCAAAAACCCCCTGTTGTCCCTGGTCCCTCTCTGGATTTACTCAGCAGTATTGCATTTTGCATAGCAACGAGTTTTTGTTGTTTTCGAGTGTTTTGTTCTGGCAAAACAGATAGAGTACGGTATATAGGCATTATGTACATAGTAAACACCCCTCAACCCGGTGATGAAAGGATGTATTTTGACAAACTACAATGGAAAAAAGATAGACACGTGGAACCAAATCTTTCTTCTTCGTCCCTCTTTTTCGTATGCAAGCATGATATATACTTTGTACATGGCAATACACTCAGAATGTCTTCCCCCCCTGCTCCTTCTTTTTTCCTCCAACATTCTCTTGGGGGGGTTTTTTTTCTAGTCTTCTTACGCGCTATGTAGCTACATGTTTACCTCTTCTTCCCCATCTTACCCCCCCGTTACCTCCATACACACGTACACGTACATGTACATATATATCATATCATATCATATCCATTTCTCCTCCCCAACTCCACTCCACACCACACCGCACCGCACTAGAATACTCTTCTACAACTAAAAAAAAACATAATCACAATCCTTAAATTCTCCATACTGTATGTATCTATATCCATGGTATTTTGGACATTATCTCATCTCTTCTATATATGTGATTACTTCTACCCTTCTCTCTTACTTGACACACACACACGCTCTCGCTCTCTCTCTCTCTCTCTCTCTCTCTCTCTCTCTCTTCCTCTCTGATATATAAAACACACACTTTTTGTTTATACACACGAAACCGATATATAACTCCTGCTTCTTCGTCTTCTCCTTACTCTTCTCCATTCTCACCATCCGAACCAACCATATCCTAACACGTACCCTCTTCTTCTTGTCCACCTTGCTAAAAACATATGTAAAACTTGGACACTAACACTAACACTAACACTGCCACATATTCATATCAAAACCCTCCCTTTCCAACCCTCGTTTTTCCAAGCTTATTCTAATCCTTCAATCTCTCGCTCTCTCTCCCAAGCTCTTTCTCTGTGTGTGTGTGTGTGGATTTCCTCTGGTGATACATACACTATATCCCCTCCATCTAAACTTGATAGAATATGGCGGGAGACAGTATTTACTTACTTGCTCACTGCTGCTGCCGCTACACCCACACATGCATGCATGCATGCATACATCCATTTCTCAGTCAATCACATCATCAACTAGTCGTAATCGGAAATCATCATACAGTCACACTCACTGTGGAGACTTGACAGTCAACCTTCCATTATCCCAACTAGATTTCCAGCCTTCACTTCTTGCATAGTCAGATACACTTGGAACAGCATTCATGTATTCACCACAGCAACAGTGACCCAAGAGACATCATGACATACAGATAATTCTTCTTTTGATTTCTTCAGTCATACTGGTTCATCGAGGAAAGCGCTCAAAGCTACTACAAACAGAACAGAACAGAACAGACAAGGCCAGCGAAATCAAAAACACATGAACAGAAACGTCGAGCTCAAGTTGACTACATTTTTGGGTACCGGTAGATGTAAGTATTTTCAGCCCGCCGCCATCTCTTTCAGATATCCATTTGTATTGTGCTTTAGCTCTCCGTTTGTTCGTCCAGTCGTGAGATAGCCTTGATGTTCATTCGTTCATTTCATCCACCGCACACTGTCGGATGCAGACACGTCCTGTCTTCAGGCCGCAATGAGTGCGGGCGCTTTCTATGCGCCCAGGCTGGGGAAGGCACTTGAGTCGGTGATGTTGGGACCGGCCTGAGCACCACCGCGGCCTCCACGACCACGGCCCTCGCCACGTCCACGCGTTTCACCGCCACGGCCACGTCCGCGGAACTCGCCACGACCCTCGCCGCGACCGCGTCCCTCACCATTTCCACGTCCACGACCCTCACCGCCACGGAACTCGCCACGGCCACGGCCGCGGCCGCCTCGGCCACCACCCTCACGGGGAGGAGGAGCAAGCATGCGGTCGCCGTCGAGCTCAACGTGGACCTTCTCCTTGCGCGCACGCTCACGCTTGGCCTTGCCCTGTCCGCCGGCCATGAAGTCTTCTTGGTCATCGCGGGAGAGCGCGGTGCCTTCGGGGAACTTGGCGCTGCTGCCCTCGTTGGGCTTGCGGACGTTCTGAGCGGCAAGAGAAAGCTTCTTCTCAGCCATCTCAGCGAGGTAGGCAGCGTAGGACTTGGACTTGTCCTCGGGCTCGGCCTCGACGTTCTCGCCCTCGGCATCTTCCCTGATGGCGTCCTTCTCTTCAGCCTGAGCCATGGCCTCGCCAGCCTGCTCGTCAGCGAGCTCGGCATCACCGTCCTTTCCGCCCCAGCCGTGAGCAGCTTGCTTGTCGTGTTCGCTAGAAACCATTAGATTGACCAAAGGGGGGGAATTCCACGTGGGAAAAGGCTCTCACCTGATACCGGTCCTGCTGTGACGGTCACCCTCAGCACGGGCATAACCACCACGACCTCCGCGTCCACCACGGCCACGGCCGCGCTGGTTACCGCGGGCTCCAGTGCCAGTAGGCTCTGATTCGAATTAGCATGGACACGGGCTGACCCAAATGGTACCCCACTCACCACCAGATCCCCTTCCGCGGTTCTTGTCAGATCCTACGCCGCGATCCCGGAAAGCTGTGTCTCATTAGCCATTGCTCGTCTAGACCCTCTTGTGTAGGCGCAGTATATTCTCTGGAGCGTGGCAGGTGTCACGTACCGTTCTCGTTGGCGTTGTCGGTCTGCTTGGCACGGGTCTGGTAGCTCTGCCTCTCGGGCACGGACTTGGGAGCGTCGGATCCATCGCGCTTGCCATGCCTCATGACGGGCTTCTCAATTGCCCTCGTTGGCGGGTCAGCCGGCCTGTTGGGGTCGAGCTCGGGGTCATTGCCTGCGGGGTCATGAGTGAGTGTTTCGAGGCCGTAACGCTGCGTCCAGACGTACCCAGCAGCTCGTAAATGTTCTGCGCTCAGAATTAGCCCATTGAAGTGCATAGCAGGCCGCCACATGTCGTGCGATCTCCACTGTAGGAGCGCGAAATTGGATTTGACCGTGGGGTGAGGAGAAGCTTACCTTGGAAGCGATTTGAGACATCTTGACGGATTGGAGCGCCTTTCGCGCTTTGCCCTTCTAGATGCACAATCTGCCGGGTGGAAAAAAGAATGCGAGAGCTTCCCTACAGTACTTAGGGACGTGGCTCTCAGGTGTGGCTCGCGAACGGGGTAATAGACGCGAAGTTGCGGGCAAGAGGTTTTGGTGGTTCGCAAAATCGGCCGTGGGTTGCTTCCGTAAGCGAGTCGAGTGGGGCACAGACCATTGCAAAGGCACAAAGAAGCAACAAGGGGAGGAGGAGGAGCTTCACTGCCGCGTATGGCGCTTCAGTCCATCGGTGGATATTTGATGAGGCCGAGGGTAATTTTGCGACGATTTGGGAGGCGCGAATGGACGTAGACATCATGGCTTGAGAGGCTTTGAATGGGTTGCTATGTAAATGTCTTGCTTATTTCAAAGTTCGCCTATAGACGCACACTGGCTCCCCAGGTTCATCCGTGAGGAGTCAGGTGCATGTTGGCTGTGAGTACGACCGAGCACAAATCAACAGCCAGCCAATTTTCCACCGCCATACCGTCTGTCAACCATACAGACCCGCCAGTTCCCCATGCTACTGCTGCTGCTGCTGCATTTATTGCGGGTCGTCTCCTATTCCGAATGCTCATGTCGACTTGGCGCGACACATTGGCAGAACACTGTCATGACTGTATCGGACAGCTTCACATTACAATAGATACAAAGCAGCATGCCATGTCTAGTTTCGAGTAAGAGGCCGGGGTGCCGAGTAGAAGGTAGTGTTCAATTGCCAGACATTTTCGCCCCCCCCTCTCACGGTAAGGGGCATGAAATACTTTCCATCACAAATACATCTGTCGCATCCAGCCACAGATTGAATAATAACTTTTCTTTGGAAAAAAATATCCCTATCCCAAGACTAGTGGTTGCGTATCGAACACTGTCGTACTGTCGTGACACGTCGTCGGTTGGGTTAAAGCAGTTGTTACGCCCGCTAAAACAACATGGTCAAGAAGGTATATCAATCGGCAAAGGTTCCTCAGGGTCCCCTGGTGGGTCTTCCTCCTCTTACTATCGTATCGTGGCATCATCTGCTTTCGTACATGGTAGGAAAATGCATGCTGGCGGACAGTCCAAAGGGATCGGCGTCGAGCATGGGATCGTAGGGGTCGAAGAGGTGGTTGTTGCCCATGCCATTGAAGACATGACTGCCGTCGTTGGGTCCTAACGAAGCCGGGCTCGTGAATGGAGGGTTCTGTGAAGGCGGCATTGGCGGGGGCATGTTGTTTGAGGGCGGGAAGTTTTGCTGAGGAAAGGGGCCAGGGCCGGCAGAATGATCGCTCGGGTCGTCGTGGTCGTAGGAGTCTGCTTGCTCGTCGTACTCCTGCTCTGTAGGAGGAGATTAGCCTAGGATTACAAAGCTCTATACCTAAGAGGGGATAAGAAACGGGTCAGCTTGCCCAGTTGACTCATGTGATCTGTGAACTGCGTCTGGTAGAATGACGAAGAACCACTGCTTTGCGTTATGCCATTTCCATTATTGCCACCAGTGGATGCATTTGGCATGCCGTTGGAAGAAGGCTGGTTTGTCACTAGCGAAGACCTTTGGGGGCCCATCATGGGGGTAAAGCTTGACCTAGGTGGTTGTGGCCGCAGGGGCTGTTGCTGTTGCTGTTGCTGTTGCTGTTGCTGCTGCTGCTGCTGTGGAGGTATGGGCCCAAAGTTGGGTGATACTGATTGGCCATGAGGCAGAAAGTTGGGTGATCGCGTTGCTGACTGAGCAGGCGACGAGAGATGGGAGCCGGGAGTAGGCTGGGACAAGGGAGATGGCTGGATGGGACCATCGGGCTGTATCATGGCAAGTCCATTAGGGGTGTCAAGTTTGAGTGGGCCTTGGAGGGAGCGTCTCTGCTGTTGTCTGTTCAGAATGGCACGATGTTGGAGCGGAGCCTGATTGGGCGACGTATGCGCAGAGACTGCAGGTCTCGTAGCAGCCAGATTGGGACTGCCAGTCTTTGCGCGCAGCTCAGCCTGGACGTCGATGCCTGGGGGTAGGGGAGTCGCGGGTTAGCGTGTGTACGTGGATAGAGCCGTTTTTTGTTTCTTTTAAATAGGAAATAAATAAATAAAAATCGGGGCTACCTTTCTCTAGCAGAATCCTCTCGAGCAGCGAATTCTTGTAGCGGAGCATAAGGCATTCGTCGGCGGCGTTGCGGTGACTGTTTTGCAGGTTCTGGAGCGTGTCCTCATGATGCTTAATGGTGCTCTCCAATTGCTTGATGTACTCTGTCCTTCGCTCACGGAAGGCGGCTTGCGCCTGCCTGTTGCGCTGCTTGCGCTCTTCAGACGTGGCATATATCTTACGGGGCCTTGTTAGTTCTATCTTGGACATGGTGATGGGCGCTGCCATTGCAGCAGTCATGGCAGGCGCCTGGTGGCAGGAAGGCTCACAGGTTTACGGCCGCCTTTGCGCTTCTGCTGCTGGGGCTCTTCCTGGGGATATGTTTCGGTCAGGCCAGGCTCGGGCGACGATCCGATAGACGAGGTCGAAGCGTCGCGCGAAGCCTCTACTTTGCCCACGGGAGCCGTCATATCTGTTACGAGACTATCTCCCATGTGCGGCCACCGCACCCCTCGGACCTGATAGAGGGGCACGTCGGCGCCAAGGGATGCGAGAGAGGCGACTTGGGCAGGTCGAAGTGGGTGACAGGAGGCTCTTTGGTCGCTTAGACGCGCTTGGGGGGGGGTTTGGCAGCCGCAGCGCCGGGACGGGCAATGGGATAGGGCGTGTGTGTATGGGGGTTTGATAATGTCTGATAAGAAGAGAGGGTTCGGGGGCCTGTGTGTGGTCGCGCAGTAGTTGTGAGGTAAGCTCTTGGGTAATGGAAACAAAGATGGGCTCGAACGGAGGGGCGGAGGTGCTGGACTTGAAAAGGCGGGCGGACCAGGCTTCGTTTGCCCAGATCAGCTCGTTTCCGTGTGGTTAAAGCTCGACGCCCCCCCCGCTGTCTGCGCGCTGAGCGTGTGGGCGGGCAGCAGCAAATGGCAGCGGCGCTGGGCACTGCTCGGCTGGCGACGCGCAAGGACAGCAGCAGCGGCCGTGGGCGTGCGAGGGAGGGTGTGTGGGTGTGGGTGTGGGTGTGGGCGTGGCAGCCAAGCGGGCGGGAGGACACGGTTGGCCGGCCGCTTGTGCCTTCAGAGTTTTTTTTTTTTTTTTTTTTTTTTTGAGCTGGCGGGGGGTGCTGGCGCTGGCGCTGGCAGAGACAGGCAGTGGTGGGCGGACTTCCGTCGACGAAGACGCCGTCACCGTCTTGGTGGAGGAGTCGCGGACAAGGCGCCTGGCTGTGGGCCTGGATTGCCATGCCGCTTCGGGGCTAGCGCGCCGCCTAGCTCCCGCGCCACCGTAGGCTTTTACACGCCTTCTCCGGCTTCTCCAGCACTGCACCAGCACCCGCACCGCACCCGCACCGCACCCGCACCGCACTGCGTCGCCGTGACCGTCGCCGTGACCGTCGCCGTGACCATGCCGCCCGGCCTCGCTGCGCAGCGCCCGCGTGCGCGCCACACCTATGTCGGGCGCCTCGCAGGCTGGGCTGCGCGCGCCAGCGGCATGGGTCGGCGTGGCAGCGGCCATGGCCACGAGGGCCACGGTGGTGCTTATGGCGACGGCGACGGCGGTGGGTGACGAGGCAGCGGCTGCCGACGTCGGGGCGCTGCTCACGCTGCGCGTAGGGCTGACGGGGAGGCTCGTCTCAGACGGATTCACCCGGGTGCACTGGACGTGCCAGCGACAAATGCGGACACGGCGTCTTGTCCGATGGCGGCGAGTGTGGCTGGCCTTGACAGCTGACGACGCCATGACCAAACCTCGCCCTTTTCTGCACCACATGCGCCTCGTTAGCCCAGACCAGCCATAGCGCCCTGGCCCTTGCCGTCCGCCTGCACGCCCGCACGCCTGCACGCCCACCACCTGACCTGGCCTGACCTGCTGCTCCCGCTCGCGCCTGGTGCTGCTGGTGCTGCTGCTGCGATGCCAAGGGCTCTTCTGCTGCCCCCTAAACAGCAGAACAGCGGCTTGGGCCAGGGTGCCCTCGAGCGCCCCAAGACTGAACATGCAACGTCGGCCTGCACCTGTGCCTGTGCCGGCAACTGTGTGCGTGCGCGCACGTGGTGGGTCGGCGCTGCGTATGTCCTCGGCTGCACCTTCCTCTTTTGGCATCGCCCCGACTCGCCCGTTGGAGACTCGACCCAGAGAAGCGCGACGGCAGGGAAACCCCAGGGCTGCCGCCTCCAACCACGTTCCACCCTCTCCAACAACAGCCCCGGCTCACTTCAGAGAGCCTCACTCCACCACCCTCACGCACATACTCTTGCACCCCCGTCCCAAAACAGCACCCCAGTGCCAGACCAGATACTACCCAACTGCCTGCCCTGCAAACCATGGCCATGTCGGCATTTCGTCACTTCACTTGAGCTCCTCACAACCGCCTTCCCTTTCTGACACTGCCCCTTCCCCCCTCCCCCTCCCCCCCTTCGTTCTTGCTGCCTTGCGTGCCCTGCGCGAGACGACTCGAGAAGGAGCAAACATCCCGACTGACCTCGTCCCCCCCTCCCATCACCACCCATCCAACCTCACCATGCACGATGCTCCCCCCCATCTCCCCCCCACGCAGCCTCAAGCGATACCCTCACCCTCACCCTCACCCTCTCCTCACACGCCCACCACGATATCCCAGCATCGACATCGTCTCATATGACTTTCCTCCTCCTGTCTTCCGCAGTATCAGCTCCCGCATCAATCTAAACCCACACTGACGGTAGGCAGCGATGGCCTTGTCAGTCATCGCGGGACGCCTGCTGAAAGGAGCAGGACACTCGCAGCCGCCACCAAGCACCCATCAGATACCTAGCCTGCATCTTACACCACATCAGACTGTTCTCTCGTTTCCGGTGGCTCCGCTTCGAGACGACGCCAGTCAGATTTTGAACTCGCAAGGCATGCTTGGTAGCCATATCGGTGAGCCCAGAGGACACTCAGTTGCCAATTCCTGGGCAAACCCCCGGCCTCTGTCCGACATTCGTGAAGTCACTGAATCGAGCATCGCCGACAGCCTGCCACGCAATCTCCTGGCCAGTTCCCTTCCTCGCGGCACCTCCCGCGCGGACATGTCACCCAAGCCATCAGCCGCGTCAAAGCGGCGCCCAAGCAACGACACGCAACACGGTGAGAATGTGGAGCCCAGCAGAAAGAACAGCGTCGAAAGCAATGGCCTGCGATGCCTTCATCGAGGCAGATGTTCGAGGTCCCCATCACCACCAAACATGGCAGACAACGATGACAGCAAGAACAGCGTATACAGCATCCCTGCCGGCACCGTGCCACCACGCTCATCATCTAGATCTCGTGCACACAGCGCTCCCAGGCCGCGCCAGCTACAGCAGGCACCACCCATGAACATGATACCTGCTACGGTTACAAAGACGCCAAGCGCCGTACAGAACCGGCCCCCATCACCACCCAAAACAAGAACAAATGTCATCCCCAACTGCGGTCATTCACACTCTCCGATTCGCCATATCGCTGCACGCTTTGACCCCATTACCCATGACACCAACAGACGTATCCCCTCCAAGACATTTGTCCGCGAGCCACTGTCCAAGGAGATTTTAGAATTCCCCTCGCATCGCCACCCTCGAATAGAGCTCGGCCTTGACTTATCCGCCGGCATATTTGTCGGGGGTGGATCCATCGAAGGGACCGTGCAGATCAACATTGATGACGCTGAGCGTATACGCCACAAGAGAACTCTAGACATAGCTCGGATATCCATCGACCTCCTCGGTACCGAGGAAGTCAGCGGCAACAGACGAGCCGTGTTCCTCAATCTAGGTACAGAGCTCATCGATGAGGAAAATCCCCCGCCCCAGAACATGGTAGACACACAGGTGCCAATTAGTCCGGAAAATCTATTCTGGCATCTCATGCCTTCTATGACCAATCTTGCTTTCAACCTTAGTCTTCCGCTCAACGTCGGTCCGCCTCCATTCTATTCCAAGCACGCAAGGATTCGCTATGTGCTTTGCGTCTCCTTACTCATCCGGGACCAAGGTAAGCAGTATATTGTGAGAACCTCTGAAGATGTAACGGTACTGTCAGTGTATGATCGTATGTTCCCCTCGAACCTCCTGTTTGTCGGTGGACCTAATGAGGCGACAGCTGAAAAGGCACTCATGTCGCTGCCCAGTCCATTGACCGCATCCGACGAGTGGATCAGGCCGCGCGAGACAACGGTCGAGGTAGTCCGGGTCACTGCAGGCTTGCACCGACAAGTCTGGGTCAGTGGTACAAACCTCTACGTCGATGTACATATCGCCAACAATAGCCGCAAGACGGTCAGAAAAATTGAACTTCAGCTGGAGAGAGACATTCTTTGTTACAAACACGTTTGTTGCGCGAGCTCGTCCCGGTGCTGCTGGTTGGTGCTAATCACGACGCTTTGCAGGCTGCTGCGTCCACTATGGAAAGGTCTGCGGGTCAGGCTCGCATCTTCGACAGCAACGAGCGTTCGATACTAAGTAAAGCAATGGTGAAGCATGGCTCTGCCGGCTGGCATGGCGTACCTACCTGTCAAACTCATCTCCGCACTTGCGACCTGGAAGTGCCCCGTGGGCACGCCACCGTCAAGTGCGGTATGTCGTTATCAATGTTGCTTGTGGCACAGTACTAACAGCCCAGGGAAATACTTTGAAGTTCGATATTTCCTCAACGTGATCGTCTGTAGTGCACATACGTTAGGACTCGCATGCATTCTGTCGATCTAGCTAACCCCCCTCAGAAAGCTCGTTACTGTTCAACTGCCCATTGTTCTTATCCACATGGTACATTTACAATGGTTCAGTCTTCTCTTCATCATCTGCTAAAAAAACATTGCCTTGTAGAACTCGCTCGATGTAGTACCCAACTCTGTCGCCCAAGTCGCCCAGGCTATCGAAGAAAAGCGTACAGCACGCCATTCACCACGCCTCGGTCGCCGACCCTCCCAATCAGTCCAAGGCCGCGCATTTGCAGCACCACGTCTACAATCACTGAAACGCATGCGCGCCCAGGAAGAAGCCATCCAAGAGCTGAGTCAAGCCCTGGAGCAAAGCCCTCGCAAGTACGGTCTCCGCCGCGCCAACTCAAACTTCGACTATCACACCCCACCTTCGAATCGTAAAGGCAGGATTGTAGGAGAAGGCGAGGCAGCAGATCTTCAAGATCGTCTGCGCCGCGTTCGGTCTAATGAAACGCTTGGCTCCAGGCCTCCTACCTTACATAGAGTAAATTCGGCCATGTCAAGGCGAGGTGCAGCATCAGCAGTTGGCTTCCGAGAAGCCGAAGTTCGCGAAGACATGGAGCTTGGGGGCCTGGGTGCGTCTGGCGATGGACCGCTACAAGAGAGGCTGGGACGACTCAGCGACCGCCAGTACCGGTTCAGCAAAAAGAGGAGTGTTGAAAAGTGGAAGGACGTGGCCAATGTTGGCGTTGGGTGGCTGAAGGGCGGTAGTGTCAAAGACGAGAGAGACAAAGACGGATGGGTGTGATGTCGCTGTCACAGCGTATGCGCGACGATTTGATTTTCGCTTGGAACAATTCTTGTTCTCTTCAATAGCTCTTTTGGACACACATATAGGATTGGATACAGCTATTGCTACGTAGGTAATCTATGTACATTGAAGCGGATTGACGTCTTCTCTTTTATTCTGCGCAGAGTGGTGGTTGGTGTCAGTTTCACACATTATTCCCGCTATGTTCAATACTAAGATGGATGGGATATCAGTAGCATATTTTACTTGTTTGTTCTACACGTAGTTTCAATTTGCTGACGCAGTGAATCTCACAAAGCAATAGGGGGGGGGTACACAGTAGAAGACGGCAGTGCAGCGGCATATTTTTTCATGTTCATCATGTATCGTACAACCATGTCTATATCCCAGCCATCAAGACTTTTTGCCATTTTCTCTTCTCACTCCTCACTCCACTTGAACCATCGTACAGCCCTCGCAGCACACATGCAAGCCAACCATCTTCATTTCATCTCAATCCAGAAAAGAAAAAAAGAAACGAGAAAAAAAAGGGGCCCCACATAACTCTACGACCTGCTCTTCCCCAGCTCACTCTGCGCCGCCGCCGTCGGGCCCCCCTTGATCCTCTCGCCCCCCGTAATCATCTTCTCGCCCTCGGTGATATCGTGCAGCGCCTGGCTGGTAATGGGCTCGTTTGCATGGGTCTGCGCCTTTGCAGTGGGGCCACCTTTGACGGGGCGCTCGAGTCCCGTGATGTCTTTTTCTTTTTCCGTAATCTTGTGCAGGGTGCTGGAGTCGAGGGTTGCCGATGAAGTTGTTGATGTAGTAGTGTTGGTAGTGTTGGTAGTATTGGTATTGCTACTTGTCAAAGCAGACTGCGCAACGGCCGTGGGCCCGCGCTTGACCGGCTCCTCGGCACCCGTAATCTTCTTCTCGCCCTGCGTAATGTCGTGGATGACTTGCGCAGTCAGCGGCTGGCCTGCGTGCGCCTGCGCTTTTGCCGTCGGCCCGTTCTGCGCTGGCCCCGCGCTGCCCGTCAGCTGCTTCTCGGCCTCCGTGATTTGCGATATCAACGCCGAGTCGACGGTGACGCGCATGCGGCGTGTGAGCGAGAAGCCGCGTGTGAGCCCGTGGTTGCTGAGGTCGTTTATGCGGCGGAATCGGCAAGATAGAGTTGATGATGATGATGATGATGATGACGATGATGGCGAGGGTATTGGGCGGGCGAAGAGAACACTGCCGTTTATGCGTGCGAGTCTGGATGCCATCTTTTTTTTTGGTTTGCAAGGTGAGGCTTATACGCGATGAAAGTTTTGTACTTGACTTTTTTTTATGTCTCGCTGTGTATGTGCGAATGCAGGAATGTGACAAAGATGGATGGATGGATAGATAACTTTGTTTTTATTAATTACCTTTTGTACCATGATGAAGCTCTGATGTAATTGCTAAATTCCTCCCTCCACTCCTCCCACAAAAAAACACCAGCCACTTGTGGTCGAGAAGCACGACCGCTGCATCTATCGTAGCTCAAGTACGAATGACGTTGATATGGGTCATAGAACGGGTCTGCCATTGCTATTTGGATATCCATGACCGCGTTTTCTTTGTTTTTCCTGCTGGTCAGTTGGGTCATGGATAAATGTCCTGCATCGACGGTGAAGACATTGCCATGTATGATCCAGACATGCAGGTACCGCATCATCGATGCTGTTGGGCGAACGCGATGCATGCAATTGGTGTGGTGGAGCCATGATGTCAGGATATTCTGGGGAAAAAGAGGCGAATAAGGCGCACTATTCTCTTTCTTAGCTGTGGACACTAGCGGCTTGATGTCACGATCATGTATTTTCCACTTTGACGTTGGAACATCTAATCATTTAGGTTGCAGAGAATGGAAATTGAAATCTCCAATTTCTGTCCTGTGTTTGAGGTGGACATGGCAGTAATCATCATAGTCATGGATAATTGGTATGACGTATGCCAGAAGCGGGTAGCTTCGTCATTCATCCAATTGGGACAGTGACAACTAGCAACGGCTGGATAGTATTTCGCGGAAACACAGATTCTGATGTAGTATATGAAAAGACTGCTCAAACACACTCACGTAGCTATCCAACCTCCTACAAGATCAGTCCTCACACAAATCACCGCCGCTATTCAGCCTCGATGCCATCTACTCTAAACAACTCTACGTCGGTATCTCTTGATTCCCCAGATGACAATCACAGATACAAGCAGCTCTACCCAAAACCACCAAATACGTAGAATAAATTGAAAGTAAACTGCAACCCTGAGGAAACATACACACACACATAGACATACATACAGCACCCCAGACGCCTTGACTCGCACCCCTCGGCCCGCCGAATCAGGCCTTAAACACACAAATGAAAAACTATGCAACAATGCATAAAAAAAAGATGCCAAAAGCCGCATAAGCGCTAAACGTTATCTTTAGGATACCCGTTAATCCTTGCTACATGCTGCATCATGTAAATCGATGAATACGATGTACTTACTATATCGAACACCTGAGAACCCGGGCTAGTCGCCTCTTTGCATGACAGCAACCCTGATCCGCGCAAGGTAGCCTGGCCCGCTTCATTCCACATCATTTTCCTTGCCCCGCGAGTCACGGCAATTGATTTGCTCAAGTAAGTGAATTGATTGGTTTAGAAAGAGTATGATTGTGAAATCTTCTTCTTCTTTATCTACGGCTATATTGATATAACAAAAAAAAACAAAAAAAAGTTCGCTACAACGCCTACAAAAATGCAAGAGATTTGGAAATCTGGGAAAATATGACAAAAGCGGAGGGTTTGGTTCCCTACGCCGCACTGACTTCTCGTCGTGGCCTGAAGCGAGTGTTAAATTCGCGCTGAGTAACGAACCATGCATTGTGTGTCTTCCACTCGGCACAAGGACGCTCAAGCTCAATCTGTAGCACGTAATGTTAGCAAAACTGCGCAACCCAACTCGGAACAACGTGTTTTTTTTTCTTCTCCAAAACTTACCTCGAATCTCCTCAAGAAACTCGGCACGAGCTTGTAAATCTCCAAAAGACTAATGTTCTTGCCAATGCATGTCCTCGCACCAGCTCCAAACTGCAGCATAGAGCCCTTCATTTCCTTGAGCTTATCGGGCGAAGCCTCGAGCCAGCGCTCGGGCCTAAAAGCATCTACGTCGTAGCCAAAAACCTCGTGCCGGCGGTGGATGACCCACGCGTTGCAACCGACAATTGTGCCGCCGGGGATGAATTCACCGCAAATGTGCATACCTTGCTTGGGGACGACGCGCTCGAGAATCAGGCCGGGGGCGGGATGGAGACGGAAAGATTCCTGGATAACGGCGTCGAGGTAAGGAAGTTTCTGCGCTTCAGACCAGGAGACGGTTTTCTCGGGGCGCGACTCAATGTTGCCTTCGGCGACAGCGTTGTCAATTTCTTGCATGAGCTTCTTGTAGACGTGGGGGTGCTTGAGGAGGAAGTAGAAGACGGCCGAGAGGGAGATGGCGGTTGTTTCGGAGCCGGCAAATACCATAGATGTGCATGTAGAAAGGATACGGTTGTCGTCCATGAACTCGTGGTCGTGGCTGGCTTGCGCAAACTTGGAGAGGAGATCGATACCGAAGGGGTTTGCTCTCTCGTCGTCGGAAAGGCCAAAGCGCTTGATCTTCTCGACCTGGTCGGCACGCGCACTGGACTGCTTCAAAGCGAATAGCGTCACCGGGTGCACACGCTTATCCAAGCCGATACGCTGAGCAAGGAGGAGAAGTGGGTTTTTCCATAGTAAGACATCGAGAATGGGGATTTGGCCAACCTAGAAAGCGTAAGTAAACAGTATATGCAGAACCTCGTACACGAGCAGCTTACCGGTGCAACATAGTCGAAGAATTTGCCCAAGAAGGTAATAATGTTGTCGATATCCTTGTTGCCCTCGACAAAGCCTAGACGCTTGCTCCATGTCAGCTCGCCGATGACGTCAAAGGCAAAGTACTGCAACCATTGACTGAAGTTGCAGCTAGTTCCAGTCTTGATGAAGCGCTCTTCGGTCTTGTCGAGGAAGTAGGTAAGTGTCGAGTTTACAAGAGGCTCGTAGCCGACGAGCGAGCTCATGGCAAAAGCGTTGTTTACACATCGGCGGTACTTGGCGTGGAAGTCCTCGTCAGTGGTGGAAAAGAGCGAAAGCAGGCATTTGCCCTTGGCTACAGCGCCTTGAACGGGATAGAAACCAGACTAGCACAGGTCAGCTGCCACTCGATGGACTTCTCTTTGCCGATATGCATACCTTGGTAACACCCTTGTTCAAGCCATAGATGGTCTTGATGGCCTTGGGGTCTGCGAATGAGAGCACGTTTGGTCCCAGGCGTACAATGTCTCCGTGCTGGCGATGCAGGTTGATGTTGGTCCAGTGGTGGTTCCAATGTGAAACATCCCACAGTCTCCACCAGTTTGTGTATCCAGCGGCCCAGTGTCCGGGGTATCTGTTTAGTCCTTTCCAGTACTTGTTGCTGAGCAGGTAGGCAAGCGTCGTCGCGGCCAAAACTATTGGCCAGTGCTGCACGAGCAGCGGGAGGAGTTCGTTGAAAAGCATGTTTTGCGAAACCCAATCTATCCAGTGGCTGTTGCTATTGATCCAGTGGCTGGGTGTTGCGATGGAATGCAAAGCAGGCGTGGCACCTCATATGGGATCCTGTTTGGGGCACATGGCCATATAAATGGCAGCTGACAATCGGGGTCTGTGCTATTCTCACCTCCTATCGATACAGGTCCGGATGGCATCGGTATCGCCATGATTATGCTTTTAGGAGCTTGCGCAAGAGGTTCTGTGTCGGCAGTTGAGTGTCAAGGTATGAGACGCTTGAAAGTGGGTCTGTGGCTTCGACGGGGGGCGGGGATGACGCCTCCGGGGCTCTCCAGTGGGGAACGAGTTTGGCCAACCTCAACACCAAGCGCGAGCTGCTGTCTACACGCGTATTCACATTTGAGCCGCATTCGCCTCAAAACATCTTGAGCCGCAACACCCTCGCTCTGCCGTCTTCCGCTCTACTCGTCAGTCCATCATCAGGCAACCCGGTACTGTGCGGGAGACGACGACATGCTCCCTCACGTCACCTCGGTAGCCGCCACCACATCGACGGACGCGTTCTGTGCTATTCTGGAACTGCCGGCCTTTGTGGTTTCAACAGCTAAACCTTGTGCGCAGACATGGCGATGGTCTGTGGACCATGGGCATTTCGGCAGTTGTTTTTTATTGTCATCGCTGCAACTGCCGATCTCTTCAGCCGAGGGATTAATCATTGGCTCCGAGAGCACCGTCTTACGCACGTGACGTCTGACCTCGACAGTCTTGTCAGGAGGCTTGGTGCCTTTGTCACGTTGTACTCTGCAGCATCTTGGGCTGCTTGGCCTTGAAATTATACTACCTGATCAGTGATAGCTCTGGAATGTACGAGGAGTAACGTGGTAAACTCTAGTTTGTAGATTCAGGCAAGGCGGTCACAGCATAACAACAAAGCTGACAGCTCAGCAACTGCCAGCCGTCTGTGATGACCTGACTATACTCTGCTCGGCCGACACGTTGAGCCATATTACTGCGTATCATGAATTTGACATCGTACGAAAGGTGGACCACTGTACATGTGCTTACATGTGACACCCCCGAATTACACCGTCCTGTATCCGAGATAACAGCGGTCGGTCAGTGGCAGCTACTAGAATAACGCACTTGATAGGTCTTGGGTCTGAGCAGTGTTGTCGTAATGGTCTGCTGACCACTTTATTGTTGAATTTCAAGTTTTCTCAGCAGCCTATGAACAGTGGTTGAAGTATCTTTGATACCCTGCATTGAGTCTGGACACTCGTCGTACCTAGATATTCCTCGCATAGATGTGTGCACAGCGTCAGCAGAGAAGGCATTGTTGAGACAATCACATGTCAAACAGTACAATGCATACATAGAAAAGCCCCTCGATTCTCTACTGGACCTGAGATTGAAGCTGCGTCGTCCAAGGTGATTGTGAGGAGTAACGTGTTTATTTTTACCTCCTTTTTCGGCGCTATTATTGGATTTGCACCAATGACTTGGACGTACGCAGTAAAAGCTGCAGCTATACGGCCGTGAGGGCAGTCTATTCTAGCGCTTTGGACATAAATGTAGGTATTACGTTATACAGTGAATAGTCATCAAGGCGATAGCTTGTAAATGAAAATACAAGAGAAGTCACGTGTTTGAGGTACAGGGTATGACACCCTACTGCCCCCTACATAGCAAACCAGAAAAGTCATTCATCCAACACCATTATCCCACCGATCCGGCATTCTACCAGCAGCCCGAGTACGACGTGATATTTTCCTCTGTTTATAGTTGGGGATTAATAAAAGCACATACCTGTGTCTATGATTGACTTGAATAGAACTCTATTCATTTATACCAAGAATTATATTTTGATTACATTACATCATCACTGATCTTGTATGTAGTAGATGTACGTATTTCAGCAGTTACGCTGGAGTAATACTACTAGCTGACTAAAAACATGTTTTCCTGCTACTAGCTTTGGACTGACAAGACACTTACTACTCGTATACGCATGCATGATATGTATGGAGCGAGGAAAGTTCAGCATGTCATTGAACGCGTAAGAACTTGCAGTTTGTAGAAGAGGATTGCCAAGTGGTATGCTGACGTGCGTAGTTCTCCTCAGACATAGGCGTATACAGACGTTCCCCACTTGTCTCAAGTATGATGATCAGTGATTTAAAATTAGAACAGTCATTATACGAACACGTCTGTTTCACTCGTTTGTATGGAAAAAAAAGAACAATCACAAACTCATCTCCGACTCGTTACTTTTGCCCTGAAGACCATGTCCAGAACACGGGATAACATTGCACAGGACTTTGAGAAAAGCAACGTTTCTGTAGGCACTCTGTTGTTCTATGTCCATATAATCATGTGCATCGAGTGCACTGACAACAGGTGATCAGACCTGTGCTAGATCTGAGCACCTGTGGTTGCATGGCACAACGAGTATAATGAAAAGGCAGCGGAGATGAGTCGGAGAAATGGCGCCGACTTGGAACAACAAATTCCAGCGTTGCAAGTTGAGGACATGGGCAAGTAGACGGGCTTACAGTCTGTGTACTTTTGGAGGCGAGATACGATATTTGGGCCAATCTGGTTTCGAGAGAGTACGCCAGAAATGTCACTGCGGGAAGGGGCAAAGGTAATGCCGGTGCTGAGGCCCAGACAGGAGCACACGCCGTGTGGAAATTGCAAGATCAGGAGATGGAAGCGAGGATCCCCCGAGGAAGAGGGCGGGTGCGCCGACTTGGGGTTGCTATTGCTGGGAACTTGGGCTCCTTAATATCCATTCTCGGCGTGGGGAGGACCAAATGGCTTTGTTTGTATCGCGAGCTAGGACACGGCGCGACTCCCCCGACGAGCAGCGGCTAACGTGTGCCTGGCGAGCGCAAGATGAGACTATGGTGGGTACGTCAGCGGCTGCGTGAGACGGTCTAGATGCCGTAGTGGAGGCTGATGGCCGGGTCATGGAGGGAGAGACTAGTCGAAACAACGAGCAGTCTGGCGAAGCGCCAGCAAAAGCTCAACAGTCATGCCGCGCACGCAATGTGCTCAAGAGCGTCATCGAGTGCTGGGAACATGGATGGGCGGGTGACGCTACCGATGAACAAGATGGATGGCCCTTTTTTTTTCTTTGTCAGTGTCAGCGTCGAGGAAGCCACCGATCAGCCTTGCAGATGCGGAGGTGTCGAAGGGGCAGCGGGTTGAAAGGGGAGGGTTGGGGATGATCGACTTGGCAATCATCCGCCATGGCCGATGGTAGTGCTTTTGCAGATGATATGCTGAGGCGTACGGGTGAGGAGAGGGTGTGGTGGATCCAGAGCTGCGGTAGTCCGAGCTCCCCGTCCAGGGTGGTTTGGGGCAGCGGCTGCTGTGTCGACGTCCCCCGCCTGCAACCTTCCGGGAAGGCTTGGATAACGACAGCCACCAACTTTGGGGCAGGCAGCCTGTGAAGGATCTAGATGCGGGGGCCTGACACCGTTGTGCTTGCGCAATATCTGCTTTGAGACAACTATACATCAATCGGTGGTTGTAAGTATTGGGGCCAGGGTTTGTCGATGCTAGTAGGCGGGACGGGATAAGCTACGAGTGCCTCATAGGTAGATCTGGACGGCTTACTTGTGAGGCAAGCAGGACAGAAGCGCTATGCTCGAAGCGTGTGTTGCAGACAGGGGGGCTGCGCGACTATTGCAGCCGGGCGAACCCAGCGCATGTAACGTTAGTCTACTGTATGGTGAAGGACGAGGCAGCAGCAGCAGCAGCAGCAGCTTCTTGGTAGAGGGTATTGAGTTGATGGTAGTCACAGTAGTCTGTATGTAGACCTAATGCACCTGCATGACGGCGCACGACGACTAGAGGTGGACTAGGCAGGGTCGACGGCCTTGGAGGAGGTTTGGATGCGACGTTGCCGGGCGCGGACAGAGGGTAGGGAGGGGGAGAAGTTTGGTAGCGCTCGAGGGGGGCCGGATGGGATAGCGGTAGACTTGGTATTTTCGGCGGGGGGGCGTGTCCAAGAGTGAAGTGAAGGGTTTGCTTGTTCATGCGTGAGTGAGTCACCGCAGTCGACGTCACCACAGTCCGTGGGCGTGGGCGTGGGCGTGGGCGTGGGCGTGGCAGGGTGCATGCGGCCGTTTGCTGGCCGGCATATTGTGAAACGCGGCCGGATGAAGTGTTTGCATGAACGAACAGTCATAACAGTCGGTGACGATTCTGCATCACGGGTGCTGTGGGATGCTGTGTCGAGGCAGAGAGGCCAGCGGCGAGTCGTGTGGGGGGCGGCGCGAGGACAGGGCCGCGCTTGATGTCGGCTTAGTGGGGGCGGCTAGCGCACGGCGGGGCCCTTGTCGAGCTGAAAGTCGGTTGATGAAGGAGAGGGCCAGAGGGACTATCCTGCCCGCACGCTGCCCACGATGCACCGCGACGCACCTGTCGGAGGCATACCGTTGCAAGCACAGCACCACAGTTGCAGCGGTCCATGTGGGGTAGCCCGGTGCGCCGGCCGAGGATGGGTTTTGCCCCCCCGCGTATTCGTTTTCGCAGAGGCGCAGTCGCAGCGTCTGAAACACGGCATAGCAGAGCGACCGAGGGTGCGCGCTATCGATAAGCCAGCACCGCTGAATGCAGAGGGACGCGACTTGGGTAATGCCCTCGCCTTGCCTCACCTGCCGACGCCTCTGCTCCAATGGCGCGGGCGCAGGCAGCATGAGGGCTCGCCGCCGAAACCCGCCTCCTGTGTCGTGCAGGTGGCCGGCGGACGGGAGTATATCGGCGGCGTGGCATGGTAGGAGGAGGAGGAGGAGCCAGCCGTGCCAGGCAGACTTCGGACTTGTGCGAGGACGAGGTTCGGCGGCGCCGGCTGTGATCGACGCCGGCCAGCATGGGATGGTGTAGGTGTAGGCGGTGGTCGTGTAGGCGGAGGCATAGGTGTAGGACGTGGAATAGGGCACATGGCATCATCCGTCAGTCACCGCCGCCGCCGCCTCCGCCGCCTGCACAGCCGCACCAGCACATGATGCGCCTCACCCGGTGGCGCAGACGCCCAAGTGCCCCGCCGCTTGGGCATCACCACGTCCAGAGTCCACCACCACCTACGGCCATGGTCACGAGAGAGAGAGAGCAAGAGAGCGCGACAGTCGTATGCCTGCACTGCAGATGCCTCAGCAGGCGCCGGAGCTACTCGCTTTGCTCTCTGCTGCTCTCTGCGCTGCGCTGCGCTGCGCTGCTTTGCTCTGCTAAGCTTCTGGGCCGTGTCTGAAAGAGGCGGCGCACATGATGGCGGATTTTTCGGTAGGCAGGCCTGGTCGCATCCCCGTCGCGCGCGCTGATTGGGCCGCGTGTTTGCAGCCCATCTTTAGCCTCAAGCAACGTCAACCTGTCGACGGCCCAAGACGACGTCGACGACACCCACTGCAACGCTGCAACCCTCTGCCCCCCTCCCTCTGGCCCCCCCTCTGCCCCCCTTCTGCCCCCCCTCAACCCCCCTCGCGCCTCTGTCCTCGGCCCTCCCTGCCAGTCCCGGCCGCCCAAAACGGCATCAAAGCCGCTGCAGTGCCCGCGACATGCCCACGACCAAGGAAACCTTCTGGAATCCGTGTCATGTCGCAACACCACCTGCCCGCCGTCTAAGCGCACTCGCAGGCCTCACCTTTTCGCCAAAGCCGCCTACCGCGTGTGTGTGTGTGTGCGTCTACGTGCCTCCTGCGTCGTCGCTGCGTCGTCGCCAGCGCCCTCAGCGCCCTCAGCTGCCTTGCTCGCACGCCAGCCAGCATGCATCGTATCATGGCCCTCACCACAATGGTAGACTAACTTTTGCTATTTCCACCCCAGAGGCTGATCCGGCGCCTCACTGCTCGTCATCTCCGTGCCTGCAGGCCCAAAAGGCTCCAAGGCACCGGCCTGCCCGCCATGAGTCCATCGCAATCTTCGCCCACGCACCCGCCCGGCCTATCCTATCCACGTGTGCACGACGCTTTCGCCGTGCCCGTCGGTCAGCTTGGTCCGACTAATTCTGCACCTGCACACTCTCGCCATATGCACGTTTAGACAAGCTAACTGCGCTGCGCAGCCAAACGGGGCAGTGTGCATAGAATCCTTGTCAAGCGTGTCTGTGGCCACGCCGAGTGGCCCATGATCGTCGCTTGGGAGCTCTTAAGAGATGGCACCCACCACCACCACTAGCCTTCTTCACCCTCCGCCTCCCACCTCGCCTCTCCCACTCACCCCCTCCCTCCTCATTCGTCCGCACCCTCCCTGTCTCTCCATCTCAATCCACGGCGCCTCACCCAAAAATCACTTCCGCCAGAGACACGTCTTTTTTTTCTTGCTTGCCTACCCCTTCACCCTCTCTTTTGTTGCTTTCCTTTAAATCCTTGAACCCGCCTCCCCATCTAATATCGCAGCCTCTCGCACATACCACCTGAAACACAACCACCATGCCGATCTCGTTACTACCCGCCTCGGCTGCGGCCTTTGCGCCCCGTTCCAACGTAAACGTTGTTTTGGCCTCCAAGGCCGAGCCATGGTTAACACAAACACTCAAGAGAGTCAATCGTGTCAAGCGGCCCTTGAACAGCGTCCAGCAACACACGCGCTGCCTGACCGAGACACTGTCGGGCCCCAACGCCATCTGGTCGCTCTGCTCCATCATGGTCCCCAAGGCTCCCGACTCGGAACTGCGCAAGGACTCCAACCCGCTCGTCGAGGCCCTCTTCAACTACCAGCTCATCCACATCGAGGCCTATGTCGTGCACGTCGACATGGTTTCACAGCATGAGGTTGCATTCAAGCTTACACCAGAGACCATCGAGGCGCTTATCGAGTACCACAAGGACATTTACTCGGTCGACGTGGCCGCCAGCACCTGGGAGTGGGCCGAGAAGGAGCAGCAGCTCAAGAAGCTTCAGGACGGCTTCGTCCAGGCCGTCAACCGCTATGTCTTCCGCACCGGCGTCAAGGCTCTGGAAGGTCTCGAGGAGGAAGGCGCGGGAGAACTGCTCGAGGGCCGAGGCGAGGACGTCAAGAGTGCCATCATGGGACTGTTCCTCCCGCTTCTTCCTCCGCCTCCCCGCATCGTCGACGTGGTCCGCCCCGCACCTCTGCTGCCCAGCTCGTCGGCGTCAGCCAACTGGTGGGTGCCAACACAGCAGGTGCACCCGTCGCACTCTGCGCCCGTCGACTCGTGGAGAGTGGTGCCTTCGACGCCCAGCCCGACCATTGCTACCTGCGGTGAGACGGGCCCCTCGTTCTGGAGCACCATGGGAAACATGGGGTTTGAGGCCATCCAGCTTCCGTCGCCGACGCCTTCGTTTAGCCAGCCATACAACTCGACAAGCCCATATGCACCAAGCACCAGCCCGTACACGTCGAGTTCGTACTACAGCCCGCCCCCGGCATCGGCACCGATCCCTGCCCTTCCTCTGCCGAGCGTGCTGGCCCAGCAGTGTGGTTCAAGCGCCGTGCACGGAGGATTCGGCGGCTTCGGATGGGACACGGGATTTGCACCACAGTACGCTGCCTTTACATAAGCTGCATGGGCGACTATGCTGTGGTACATGTACCTGATCTCCGTCGATGGCGGGAAGCGCGGACCTGGCCAGTTCGCCCCCCCCCCCCCCCAACCGCACTTGTTCCCAATCGGTGCAAGTTGCTAGCACACCCACGTTGCGACACCCGACACGAGACGAAAGCGATATCCACAACATGATGTTCTGCGACCAGACATCATGGACCAAAGCAGCATGGGACGGCGTTTATCATCGATTTTTAGCAAGCGTCATTTCTCCTCTCTTGCTGGTACATGTTCTTTTTCCTTTTTCCTTTCTTTTCTCTTGATACCTGCTTTTACGGTTTGTCTAGTGTTTTTTTTAGCGAGCGATTTCGTTTCTTTTTTTTCTTCGTCCATTACAGACGCACACGGCCGGACCAGGTCCTTTCATTACTGAATACAGCATCTCTGGGAGGTATGCATGTCGGGCATTTCAACGGAAGACGGTAAACACAGCCTCACGGCTTGCGGGGTCAGGCACTCTGGAAATTGGGTTTTTTGTTTTCTTGTTTTAATGTCGTTTTCCTCCTGGACGGTGCGCCATCTCTTCGTTGAGCACGTGGCAAGCCATGACTCTTACGATTTGACGCGATCAACGTTCATGAATCTGCCTACTTGGACTGGTATTGAGTGCCAGCTGGACATGCCGAGAGGCGACGACAAAAGTTATACAAGCATCTGTGATGCCGCTGTAATAGCTCGTTTCTGTTGCAAAAGGAGGACTGGGTCGGAACGGGGTAGGCTTTGGCGCAGGGTCAGGACAGGAGTACGCCCGTGGCGTGCCCTGTTGTTTTGGGAAGCGGTCCTCTGCTTGCGGAGCACACGCTTTCCAAATGTACCTTGATGCTTTTTGCCGAGCTGGACCGATTTGGAAGACTGGACGCACAGAGACTTGTAGGCTCATCTCCTACACTCCAAGCCAGCCTTGCGAGAAGCACGCGACGCGGTTGAGCCGGTCGCCGTGAACCAGATGCTGGCAAGAAGCAAGCTTCTTATTAGCCTTCTTAAGTTAATCTCCAAAAAAAGAACCTCAAAATTCAATTCAATAAAAAAAGATTTTCAGAAGCGTGTGCACAGGATATGATTGTGGAGTGAGTGTTTCAGTACTATTCTTACTACTAGCAGCGGCGGCCAAGACCAAGACCAAGACCAAGACCAAGACCAAGACCAAGACCAAGACCAAGACCAAGGCAGATGAGTGTAAGCATGCTCGGGGGATAGGAGTGAAACGGGCTGCATGCATGGATGTTGGAACGGGAAAGGAGCAGGCGTTGGGCGATGCTGAGGGTGGAAAGGCTGTGACTAAGTATACTGGATGGGGCGGGCGCACGAGCCAATGGGTCAGGACTGGGACCATGGCGCCGGGACGGGGAGCGGGAGAGGGACGATTGGATTCTGGGGCACACGCACAAGCGAGGAGATGGGCAGACGAGCTGTGCCGCAAACGAGGGCGGGATTGGGCAAGGCGGCGGAACGGGAGCCATGGGTTCGGAGGAGTAGAGCAGTAGTGGCAGTGTAGTGGTAGGAGGCCATCGGGCGGTAGTGGTGGTGGTAGTGGTGGTGCCCAAGGCAATCCAGCCAAGGCAATCAGGGCAGGGCGACGTTTGTTTTTTGCGACCTGTCGCGGGCGCCTAAGTAGCTGACGTGACGCGGGCGGGCGTAACTATGCACCGTCACTCGTGCGCTCGCCAGCAGCGCCGAGGCCAACTCGTTTGACGTCGATACACTCACTCACTCACTCACTCATTTACTCACTGCCTGCGTCTGGAGCGCATGCACATGCGCCGCCCACTCCTCCAGCACCCGCGCCCTCCATCGCCGCGCCGCGCCATGCCACCCGCCAATTCGCCTGTAAGGATGCCTGTGTGTGTGGTGTGCGCTCTGCATGACATGGCATGGCATGACACGGCCACTGTTGACTGACGGAGCCGCATCATCTAGGACCCCGAACCCGCTACCACCACCAATACCACTACCACTACCACTACTGCTACTACCACCACCACCACCACCGCCACCTTCATCTCGGCCCTGCGCGAACTCGAGAGCCCCGTCAACGACGACGTCCTCAACCTGGCCGCGACACTGGGCCCCCCGACCGACGACGCCCACGATACCGACGACATTGACGACATCGCCCGCGCCGCCGCCGCCCACTACGCCCACGCCGCCCACCACGCCCACGACCAGGAGCGCCTCGACGGCTCGCGCGAGCGCCTGAGGCTGCTCGAGAGGCAGCGCGACGAGCTGGAGCAGCGCGACCGGCTGCGGCGAGTGATGAGCCGCCTCAGCCGGCTGAGCGACAACAACTACGGCGACCGGGTGCCCAGCCAGAACAGCCTGTACGACTGGTCGCCGGCCCACGACGCTCCCACTCCTCCGGGCGCCGCCGAGAGCTCGCTGAGGTCGACGGCCATCCTCCAGTCGGCCGGCGTGCGCCGCCATGCACGCTTCTCGGCTCGCTCAAGGGAAGCCGCGTCTGCCGACGCGCCCTCGCGCCATGTGTCGCACCGCAGCCTGCGCGACATGCTCGCTGCCCGCGCCAGCCTGCACAGCGACTCCATGGACCGCCACCGCGACGCTGCCGCCCGCCACGCCTCGATGCAGCGCCTCGCCGACGCCCGCGCCTCGCCCATGCTCGAGCACACGCTCCGCTACCTGGCCCGCATCCGCCACTCGACCAGCAGCGACGAGAGCCTCGAGTACGCCCGTGACGCCGGCTTCCTCGACAAGGACTACTTTTGCCTGCAGCACGCCGACTTCATTGCAGACCCCTTGGCCATCCCGCCCCCCGCTGAGACGTCATGGCTCGTCCCCGGCGCCCTCCTCTCGGGCTGCCAGCATGCCACCACCATAGCCACGACCCGCCACACTGCGCTGCCCCCTCCCATCCGCCCCTGGATATGGACCCCCAGCGACTCCTCGTCGACGGGCCGCTCCGCCCACCACCACACTCCCGAAGCCCTCCCCCACCAGGACCAATGGCCCGTCAAGGTCACCATACACCACGTCGACTGGGACGCCATGTCGCTCTCTGCCACCATGGAGGCGTATAACGTACCCTCCCACCCCCACTCGCACACCATCCTCCCCACCGCTACCACCACCACCACCACAACGCCGCCGCCCGCACGCACATCGTCCATCACCACATACCTCGAAGGCGAAATACTCGACTTCAACAACCACACCCTCCTGACCGAATCCTTCAAATCCACTGCCGCAAACGACGCAACATACTGGCGCAAGCTGCCCCCCTTCCAGAAGATGAGCGACGAAGACGTCATCCGCTGCTTGACCAGCAAGAAGTGGCTCACCGAAGTCCTGAGCCAGGAATGGATATTAATGCGCTGGAAAGAACGCTGTTTTGTCAAGAGCCTGAACCGCAGCACCGCCGATCCCGTGCAGCCCCCACCCTCGACCACGACACCCTCGTTCCCGGACGGCCCGACACCCAACATCTGGTCAGCAACCAGCAACGCATCCAGCTACCAATCTCTAAGCACTGGCTACACCCATGCCTCCCAGCTTCAGTCTTCGCCCTACCGCATCGTCCGCAACGCGCAGACGGGCCGCGCCGAAGTCGAAATCACCCCCCAACCCCTCTTCAACCCTGCGAACAACGACGCCGAACACGCCACCTTTGATGATTCAGGCTGCGGCCTGACCATAAGTGGATTCTACTACGTCGCCCTCGATCGGAGAAGTGGCAGGCTGGAAGGGTTGTATTATGATCCACAAAGTAGCCCGTATCAGTGCTTGAAGCTAGAGAGCATAAGGGGTGGGCTGAGAAGCGCATGGGGCTTTAGATGAGAGAGGAAGGTGATTTTTCATCACGCATATTACGCATTGGCTCGGTGTTTTGGGAGTCGGTAACTTAGCGGCGTGTTATGCATTTCGCCGCCTGAGGGATTGATGGGTTTTCCTTGTTTCTCGGTTTGATTCGATTGGATTCAACGTGTGGGGTTGGAGTGAATTGGCGTGAATTGGATTGTATGGGAATAGGACAACCAAAGGCACACGGGGAAAGAGAGAAAGAAGTCAAAGGGGGGCATATTACACACTGGGAACACATTTAACGGCCTAACTTCCCCTCTCTTTATTTTTCTCTATCCAAGCTCCAGCCCACGCAGATAGACTAACAGATGCTAATTAACGACATGTTACCCTTTTCTACCATTCTCTTGTATGACAGTATGCCTTGCATACCCTTGAATTCCCTGGAATACCCATTGCTATCCAGCTCCCCGTGGCGCTGTACGTCGTGTTACACACATACGCCATATACGCCCTACACGCCCCCCCTAGTAACTTGCATGTACTTGCATGCGCCACACCAACCAACTCATCTTAGCACCGATTTTGTCCCCACACTCACCCGCTGCTACTAACTACACTCAGTAACTAGATGCGGGGCTGCGGTGACCCTCTATTTCCTACATGCTGTGCATCGTTGTGTTTAGACAGGTGTGCTATTGGGGACCTGATGGAGGAGTCATTGTCTACACGTCGGACTCGCTTTTCTGCATGCATGGCTGGTGTATAAAAAAGGGAGGTTGACGAGATCAATGTGGTCAGGTGCATAGCAGAGAAAGAGAAGGTGAAAGTGAAAGTGAAAGAAGAACAAGTCAACATGGCGACTCCAACTTCCGCATCAACACAATATCCAAGGACGGCTGTGAATAAACTCGGTCGATTGCCAAATAGAGGTATCTATCTATCTATCTCTCTACCCACGCATCTATCCCATTCCCCCCCTTTTCACATGTCCATGTAAATCGACACAGTTACTCATTTAACTGCAAGGCTACTACGACTACGCCACCATCCACACGCTGCTCGACCGCAGCCCCCTCCTACACATCTCCTTTACGATACCCACCCAGCGCTTCCCCGTCATCCTCCCCATGCTCGGCTGCACCGCAAACTACACGGATCCCAGCGCCGAGCCAGCCACCACCCCGCAAGACGTCTATCTGCACGGCCACATTTCCTCGCGCATGTTTCAGCGCGCCAAATCCTGCCCATCCTCATCTCTAGATTCCACTCAACAACAACAACAGCAGCAGCAGGCACAAAAAGAAGAAGAAGAAGAAGAAGAAGACGAAGAGTCTCGAGATGGCCTCCCCATTTCCATCGCAGCCTCCTTTCTAGACGGCCTCGTACTGAGTCTCACGCCCTTCCACAACTCGTGTAATTACCGCTCTGCCGTCGTGTACGGGTATGCGTCTCTGGTGACGGACGAGGCCGAAGCCCTGTGGGCCATGCACAAAATCACCGAGAAGATGCTGCCGGGGCGCTGGGACGCCAGTCGCGTGCCGCCGACGGATGCAGAGGTGAAGAGTACGGGGGTAATGAGAGTCAGGATTGTATCTGTAAGACTGCTCCTTTCCTTTTTCCCTTCTCTCTCTTTCTCTCTTCGTGCGTCATGGTAGCATGTGCTAACGAGCCAGGCGTCGGCGAAAATACGAACCGGAGGCCCCAGTGAAGATCGTAATGATCTGAAGAATCAGGAGCTTGCGCAGCGCACGTGGACGGGCGTCGTGCCGTACTGGGGTATGTGGGGGGAGCCGGTTCCTGGTGCCCAGAATGGATGCGAGGAGGTGCAGGGGTATATTGAGGGGTGGAGGGTTGGGGAGAATACTAGAGGGAAGATGGAGGCTTTTGGGGCGGCCATGGAGAAGTAAGTAGTAAGTAGTAAGAGTGTGATGTTTATGATGGATTTCTTTAAGTAGTGCTGTATTCACGATTGATTCTATTCCATCTTTATTAAGAAACACTGGCTTGACTAACCATAATACCACAAAAAACTACTCCGCCCGCCGCTTCTGTAGACCCACCTTCTTCTTTCCAAGCACATCTCTGCCCTCCTCGATACTCAGCATTGCTTCCCTCTTCTTCTCGGTAACAGGCTTCAATGCATCTCTCACCACTCTGCCCTCGACACTGACGCCCTCTTCTTCAAACTCGTCCATCTTCTTGCCCACCCGCGCTTCAATCGCCAGCACAAGATCAACATCTCTCTGCCCAATCATGGTAATGCTCGTGCCTACACGACCAGCACGCGCCGTACGACCAACACGGTGGATGTAGTCGTCCGGGTCACGTGGGACGTCGAAATTAATCACAAGAGCTACCTCTGGGATATCGAGACCTCGCGCGGCTACGTCGGTAGCAACGAGAATGCGGGCAGCTTGGGCGCGGAAACGTGCTAGGTTGTTCACGCGATCCGACTGCTTGAGGCCAGAGTGCAGGGCCGTGACGCGGTGGTCCAGGAGACGCAGCATATACTCGAGTAGCGTGGCTGTCTTGGTCCGGTTGCAGAAGATGATGACGCTTTTCTCGATGTTGCCGGGCGTGTTGAGGAGCACGTGGAGGTAGCATTCTTTGTGTGTGACGGGCGTTTGGAGGTACTTTTGCTGCAGCCGTGGCGGAATCGCTAGATTCTCGGTATCCACTTCTGACACAAAGATGGGTAGGCGGCCTGGTGCGCGCGGTTGCTCCTTGAGCGCTAGGACTTCCGGTGTTACTGTAGCAGTGAACAAGAGGGTTTGTCGCGTTTCTTTCGGGGGCAGCGCAGACAAGCACGTCTCGAGATCAGGCAGCATGGAGCCTTTTCCTGGGGCCAGTAGACGGTCTGCTTCGTCAAAGACGACGAATCGTACGCGCCGAAGACCACAGATGGTGTCTTCACCAGACGTTCGGATGTGCTCTGCCAGTCGGCCTGGCGTCGCAATCACAACGTGAGGACGTGAAGCGAGCTCGATAGCTTGTGCGCGTTGGTCTGCTCCGCCAGTGATGAGGATTGGCTTCATGGACTGAGGAGCTGAGATGGCCTTTACTTGCTCGTAGATTTGGATGGCGAGTTCGCGCGTGGGTCTAGACGGCGTCAGTATGACCTACGTCATGTTCGAGGCAGTATGCCCAGGTAGCAGATTAAGTTTTCCAGATTCAAACATTTGGATCTTTACTAATCCTGCAAATCATCCAACCTCCGTTCATGTAGCCAAAAACGAGAAGCTTACTCACGTGATAATGACTGCAAAAATTCCGCTCGGATCCTCCGCCCACTTTTGCAGAATGGGTACCGAAAACGCAATCGTCTTACCGGTACCCGTCCTTGAGCCTCCTATACAGTCTTTTCCCTTTAGGATCTCCGGAATACAGGATGCCTGAATACCCGTTGGTCGCTTGATCTCCATGCTGGCGAGCGAGGCGACGAGCCATGGCGCGACATTGAGTGAGGCAAAGCTGAGCTTTTGGTTGACTGCAGGGGTATTCGTAGCTCCAGAGTTATTGGAGTTACTCTGTGGACCATTGTTCTTTGCTTTAATGCGCGATATTGTTGGTGGTGCTACAGAGAGTGGTTTCGGGGCGGGTTGAGCTTCAGTCTCTGAGGCGGAACTGTCGTCATCGACAGGTGAAAGTCTCCTCCTTTTTCTCGCCCCAGACTGAGAGTCTAGTATCTCTTGATCGGATGCTCCGGAGTCGCTGTAGTCGCTAGTCGCCATGTTGCGGTTGTTGGTTGTTGGTTGTTCTTCGCAGCCAATGTTCGAGTTGGATGGTTCCAAAATTTTATGCAGGGATATCTCACGCTATTCTTATCGATAACACATTGGATCTGGACTTTCGTCCAATCACTCAATTTGACTCGGAAGATTTCAAGCATTCTATCGTCCTGTCGCATGAATATATCGACTTGCAGGTTCATGAAGCTCTAACGAGACCTAGGCTCCCCTCTCAATTCCACATCTACATTAATTACTTTCGATCCCTCCTATACCGGCAACAGCTCTCTCCACAAAGACATGACTTGTCGAGACCAGCCCAATACTTCTCACCATAGTCCAATGTGATTTCTGCGCCAGCTTCAATTCCTTTGCTGACCAGAACTATCCTTTGAGTGTCTAACCAGGTAAACGTCGAGAACTGTGCATTAGGCTTGCAGCTGTGATTGGCGAAACGCGTATAATTACCTACCCTGCCCTGCCATACCTGATAGCTAGTGGACTGTGTTGAGCTATCCATGACGTCGAGATGCCTCATGCCTTTTGTGATGAGGCCAATCATTTCGCCAATGCCAGTACCGCGGTCGAAAGAAGTTAGAGCAATGAGACCGTTGTTCTTGCCGTCAGGTGTGCGATATACCTGGACAGGCGCTGGTTTACGCTTTACGCAACCAAACAGCGATGGGAAACAGAAACAAGAGTTCTCCTTTGGGTCGTCCGACTGTTGCTCATTGCATACCGTGCAGACATAAGCGCCACCTGGTCGTCCTATGGCATTCGTTTGTGGTGTCCATCTTGGATCTTCGCATCCCCATACTGATTCATCAATAACCGATTCATCAATGTGCTCAAAAGCAAAGTATGGATCTTGGGCAAGGTATGTCTGGCGCAAGGGTAGAGGATCAGAGCCGTCCTCGAAAACGACCCATTCATGCGGGTGCCCCGGGTATTGAGGAGTCGATGATTCGCCCACGATGGCTAATAGTTGCCGCCAGTGGGGGTGTAGAGTATCGGCTGCTACTTCGAGTCGCTTTCGCAGGTTTCGGAGGCGTCGCATAGCATCATTGTCAAAGCCAACGCGGTATTTACAGAAGCGGTAGATGCCCATGCCGGCAAACACTAGCGCTGCCCAGCCTGCTGCATCTTTGACTTCTTTGTACCCTCGCCAGATTGCCATCTTGTTCCGCAGCTCCTTTCTAACAACATTATCAGTCATCATCATTGGAGGGTTATCATACACTTCTACTCCATAAGCGTGAAGCGGGAGGTTGTGCTTACTCTGACCAATCAAAATCTCGACACGCCTCCATGAAAACAGCCTTTCGGTGTTTTGTTGTCGATAACTCTGGCCTCGTTTGGCTTCGGTATTGCACTTGCTCCTCAAAAAGTTCAGTCCACCGGGCTTGGACAATCATCTCAATTGACCGACACACGCGGCTCGCCTGTGTGACCTTGCGGCAAAACATGTTCATTTGGCTGAACGAGTCGCCCACGGTGTTGGCTGCGCAATTGAGTACCGTCGTGGTGGCAGACGACGTTTCTGATTGCGCATGTCGAACAATATCCATGGACGGTCCATTGGGTGCGACTTGAAATTGTTCGAATATCGCTTTTGGATCAAGGTTGATGGAGCCATGTACCTGCTCCCAAATGCCGATGATGAGCTTATCTAGAGTGGAAGGCTGAAAGACGAATTTATCCGAAGCAACCTTAATACTGTCAGCATGCGTCCATGCGAGGTGATTTTGGCGACACAACTGCAACGTCACCTGACAAGGTTTGGTTACGCCATCAATCAGGTATCCATCGGAAGAGGGGCCGTAGTCAGTGCATGGCGGGAAGCTCCACGTACTTTTTTCCTTTTCGGGAAACTTCGGCTATCGATTTGCATCTGCCGTTGGTGTTCGCTAAGGTCCTCTTGGAACGAGGACTGCTTTTGCGAAACCCGTAAGCCGCCCGTGCCCTTCCTGCGGCTCTCCCGCGAGTCTTCACGTGACGGGTAAGGAGTGTCCTGAGAACGGGATTCAGTTGGAGAAGCCTCGTCATATTCATGAGAATCCACTGCCGGGCTCTGCGTGGGTGCAGGGGTCCTCATGCCCGTTAAATCTAGCGTTTGCTGCGTACGTGTCAGTGTGCACTACTGTACCACCATGGTGGTAGATAGATTAACATACCGACGCTATTCTCTCAGATCGCGCCCTCACCGCATTGTCGGTGCCAGCGTCCTCGAGAAAAGCTTCAACGCGAAGGATGGGCCGGGTAAGACTGTCGAGTTGCGGCCATGCCACACCGATGTTAGACTTGGCAAAGTGCTCTTGTATAGCTCGACCAATGCACTCGGAGAGTCCTTCGACATCCTGGATTGCGCTCATCTTTGATCAACCTCGTAGCTGTACCTGGCTGGCATCAAACAAGTCCGCGGGAAATTGCCACCAGACGCCAATGTGCGTGTTTGCGCGAGCAACATGCAAAAGGGGGTTTTGGTGTCCACCCTATCGACCACTAGCTGTTGGTCGTACAGATAATTTGGTGGAATGACGCCAGTACCGATGGACTTGATCTAAAGATCAGATACCCGCGAAACGTCCGACGGGCTACAGAGATGGGCGTGGCTCAGGCGCAAGCGTGCTGATGCTGCTCCTCACCATCACATTGGTCGTCTAATCGCAAGAAGCACAGCCGCGTCTGCGCATGGAGGAGGAGAGTCCGTTGGAATCGGTAAGGGTGTTGATGGAAATTCTGCTCAAGCAGCAGCAGCAGAGGCTGGGCAGAGCGGAAACGCGTTGGACAATGGGTGCATCGAGCTTGGCATCGGTAGTACTTCGGCCTTTTCGTCATCGAGGTCTGCCCAAGACGCGCGACCTACAACATGCGCCAGGCTTCAGCCACTCAGAACATCGCACAAGCGGAACAGATTCTCAGGTAGATTTTGTTGGGTCGTGACAAGTGTGGCAAATCTGCCATCTCCACCTAAGTAGTCATAGCTGCCGCTCAGTGATGCCCGGGCAGTCAATGATTCAACAGGGATGTCGCCGTTGAACCACAATGTCGGTGGAAGCGATATTAACTGTTACCGAAAGCTAGTCGAGCTTGATCTGCTACTTACCGGTAAACGTCACCAGACCGCCGGATCCATATGACACATGTACCATTGTTGCATCTTTGGCATTCAGAATGGTGCATCGACTGCACTGTCTCACTGTACCGCGTCGCCATCTCTTTCTCTACGCTCAATATCCGCAATAAGGCTCCATCATGTCCACTGCGAACACTTGCAGAAATCCTCGATGATGTAAAATTGGCCTACCCAACATTGCCAAGTCGCGCCGTGATACCGGCGATCGCAGTGGGTCAGCTATCGTAAGCGGGCTAACATGACATATATATATGCATGTGTGTGCTCGGCGTCCCAAATAAGCCGCCACATTTATTGAAATCACTGCGCTTATGTCGAGCACTTCTATGCATTTTTTGGCGTACCACTCCCTTTGATTCATTTCGCAAGATTGGCTTGTTTATCGGCATCGTTTGTACCCATCTGTTGTAGTCATAATGGAGTCATCGGGCGCAACAGAACCAAGCAAAAGAAATCGGCTGGAAAGGATCGCAACACACGAATCCTATACTTTCCAGGGACAAAAAGGATGGCGGAGGTGGCGTATATTACAGCCTGGACGGGGCATGTATCACGATGTGAAGAGAAGATTGCCATACTACTGGAGCGACATCACAGATGCCTTCACTTATCGGGCTTTTGCAAGTACGGTCCGCATGTACTTTGTGAAGTAAGTTTTCTCATTCAAAAATCAAGTAATATACTCATGACCGCAGCGTCCTGCCGGCCATTGCCTTCACACTCGACATGTATCGCCGCACTGGCGGGTTCTTTGGCGTCAATGAAGCCCTGTTTGCATCCGCGTTAGCAGCAATGGTGTTTAGTTTGCTGTCCTGTCAACCGTTGACAATAGTCGGTGTAACTGGTTTGATTGCGCTCTTCAACTACACCATCTATGACATTATCAACATTTACAATCCGAGTATATATCCAGCATTTACAGCTTGGGTCGGCATCTGGGCTGCCATTTTCCATTGGATCGTATCATTCGGAAACTATTGCGATTACATGGCACATGTCACCGATTTCTCGAGCGAGACCTTTGGCATGTATGTCGGTATCATTTATTGTGGTATGTACGCCTCGAGCTTTGATGGTAGAATTTACTGCTTACCCGCAAATAGTCAAGGGCGTCGAAGAACTGGTCTATCTCTTCAAGGCCTCCGAGTTTGAGGGCGGTTATCTCTCCATCGTTATTGCCATCCTCTACTTTGGTTCTGTCTACGGCCTCGAGAAGCTCGGTGGTAGCATACTTTTCACCCCATGGGTGCGCAGTATTCTGGCCGACTACTCCTTTGTTTTCCCCACGCTGTTTTGGGTCGGCTTTTCGCACATCCCTGGAAGATTGAAAAGCACCCATCAATACCGAGTCCCCATTGTAGGGGCTTTCGAGCCAACCCAGAACCGCGATTGGGTAATTGATTTCTGGAACCTCGATGTTAAATGGGTATTCGTGGCTTTGCCATTTGGGTTCTTGATGATGCTGCTTTTTTACTATGACCACGTAGGTACTTGCTGTCTCGTTGATGAACCTTGTAGGCTTACATTTCAACCAGAACGTTTCCTCTCTTACCGCGCAAGCCCGTCAATACCCTCTCAAGAAGCCAGCTGGCTTCCATTGGGATTTTTTCCTACTCGGCTGCACCTGTTTCGTCAGTGGTGTCATCGGGCTTCCCCTTCCCAACGGTCTCGTCCCTCAAGCGCCAGTGCATACCGACTCTCTAACCATCTACGAAACAAAGCTCAAAGTGACCGAAACCAAAGATGGTGGTGAGATCCGCAAGCCAGTTGTTGAAGCTACGGCTGTGGTTGAACAGCGCATCAGTCATTTCCTCATGGGTATGGCTATCTGGGGTACCATGACAGGTCCTTTACTCGACGTTCTACACACTATGCCCGCGGCTGTCTTTGCCGGTGTATTTTTTGTCGTCGGTGTATGTACCCACTATCTCTACGTTTTTGATAACTCATTGAATAACTAACAACCATTCAGTGGGGATCCATAGAGTCCAATGGCATCTTAGCCAAGATATGGTACCTAGTATCCGAACGACGCTTCCTCGACCGCGACAACCCTCTCAGCACTATTCCCCGCCAGAAAATCTGTCTCTTTATCGGCCTTCAAATATTCGGTGTTGCATGCACAGTCGCCATCTCGCAGACTATTGCTGCAATCGGTTTCCCTGTGCTCATTATAGCGCTCATTCCTTTGCGCACCTTCTGCATGCCCAAGTGGTTTTCCGAGCATGAGCTTAGTGTGCTGGATGCGCTGACTGCAGATAATCCAGCTGTGTTGGTTAGCTTGGGCGGGACACCAAGAGGCATGAAGCACAGTGTTGTCCGCAACGGAGACATAGATGAGCAGAGTGATGTGGAGAAGGGAGAAAGCACTCGGTCGCAAAGTAGGCCTCCAAGTGCCGCCAGGCAGCGCGCTGGTAGCATACATCTATAGACGGATATGTATTTCGACATCCTTAACTGAATATCTGGAGCATACAGAAATACTGAGAGGCATAGAATAAGACGGGGAATTGAAGAACTAGAGTTTTGAAAGTCTTCAGCGATTCCGCTAGCGCTGAGCCGAAGAAACGTATCTCTTCGCAATAAAAGTTTAATTTAGTCTAAACAAGTCATTGTTAGTGGTACCTAGCTGATGTCTCTTGTTCTCACCGGCGCTCATCGTGGTCCAATACGATTAATCAATCAATGGCTGGCACGGCATCACTTGAAGCTCTCCACCCATCGTCCATCTCCATCTCCAGGCTTCTTATAACCAGGACTACCGCACTCAGAATAAGCCCCATTAGTCTAGCAATATAGCCGATACATCGCTCGCCTCTCAAACCCCGTTGTAACCAGCCAACATGCCAGCTGCCTTTTCCTGAATAAAACTACCCGCCTTGTAGCATACATGCTAATATTATAGCAATGCAAATGTCACAAGTGCATACAGCAAGACATTGAATTATCTGGCTCTTTCAGAGGAAGATAAGGCATGGGGAGTGCGATTGCAAAGTGGGAGTATCTTGATGAAAACGTGCGACGGCTGACGTTCGTCACCAAAGCAAGCTTCATGGTTGTTTTGTTGAAAAATGAAGCAGTACTTCCACCCGTAACTTGTGAGTATATGGAAAGATGGCCAGAAATGAGGAAAACAACAAATAGAACATGTCTAGCAGAAAAGAGGATATCGTACTCTGTTCTCTGAACGACAAACATGTCACTAGTTGCGTTTGTCCAGAGCCGGTCACGAGTACTGTTTTGAGAGCCTTCTGGTGGATTCTCTCTAACTGTAGTTTTCACTCCATGTTCTTAAAGGCAAACAATGTGAGGTAAGAATCTGCGCATGACAGAAATGCAGCACACTTGGTCTTGGTTGCTAACTGTTGAGTTGATAGCGAGAGCATATAGTATTTAGTTGTGTCCTCTTTAGAGAATAGTACTCATAGAACACAACTCTAAACGTGTTTGTATTCCAGCTTTCCTTTTGTCATTATCAAATTCTAGAGCGCTTGTTATTGGGTATTCCCTCCGTATATCCTGCCGCTTCGACATTATGGCTATGGAAAGAATATTGGTCCTTAAAGAGTTTGGAATGACTCTCTCCTAGTATGTCGGTCACCTCGGAGCCTATATACTACACATGTTTGATCCGATTGGATAAAAGTACAGTTGAGAAGTAGTCATGCCTGTATTTACGGCGCTTCTTTGCGCTTCTCCGGAGTTTGTATTGTGCAATGGACACGCAATCTATCAACAGCTAACAATATTCACTGGGACATGTATACCATATTGGAGAGAGTAGCGCGTGAATATGTATATTAATAAGAACCGGGATACTCTTGCAAAGCTGAGAGGCTGCTTTAGTTGATGTTCTAGATGCAATTTCGACGTGCTGACGCAGTGGATTTCACGACGTAAGAGGCTACTTTAGAGTTTCAAACTACGGATAAACAAAAAGAGCATGGTCTAACGTTGCGGGTTTAGTGCATTTGACTACTAGCTATTAAGATGTCTATAGTTGAGAAAATAACAAGACTCAAACACATTGAGAGTCTCGGTGTCATGGTTAGGGATTGGGAGTTGCTTTTTGGCCGTTGATAAGGATGATCGCTGTACCGAGCACATGTCATATTATTCAAGTTGTTGGATTGTTATGCATCTGCTATAGTTCTCTGTTGTATAGCTTTCATTAGTGGTGTTTTGTTTTAACCATCCTTAAGTGACTTTCATGCACCCTCTGCCCTCCGGTGTGAGCTTCGACCACTTTTCGACACCACTTTCGACGTACAATCTTTCCATTTCTGAGGTTTACTGCTACGTACAGTGGATCTTTACCGTTCTGGCTTCTTCTTTCGGCTCATAGTTTAAACCCCAGAGTGACGATCACGGGCAACGTTGCGCCTGCAATGACGTTGAGCCGCTGCAAGAATTATTCGTGAACGGTATTGATACGTCGGCTTTGATTTCCGGCAATGAAGGATTTACAAAGTTCGGTGGCACCAAAACTGCTCAGCCCACAGTTACAGGTAGATGCCTCCAGGGTCCATGCAGTCATATGACTGACCCCACTATGACTACTTACCTATCAGGCGTTTCTGACTCTAGATTCACCTGATTGGGTATCCACAACTCGTGGCGATGCATTTTGGGCCCCAGACATAGCAAACTCAGTTCTATTTTATTACAGGCCAAAAAAGGGTTGGTTGCGAACGCACAGCGATAAGACAAAGTCAGGAAGCACGCCATAAATACATGTTTAAGGCCACCCCCAGAACACGCCTTGGCCGCTTTTGGGATTTGGTGACAAGGGTATCGAGTGTTATGCAATTCAAAGATGACCTCGTGTCGAAGATGAAATACCAAGAGAGATATACTTCTTGGGTATCCCACATTATCTCGGAGTATTTTACAAGAAGAGTTATGGCCTTTGTCTGTCTAACATTAGGCCGGCATTCACATGGGCAGACTCTCTTGGAACCATGGTTGATCGGCAGAGGCATCGTTCCGCACGGCGTAATACCGGCCGGTTGAAACTTTCCGTTATGTATGACATATGGTCTTCGGGCCGAAAACGATGATAGAACGGCCGGAGTTGCCGCGGCAGGAGACCAGACCTTCCCTCACTTACGAATCATCGTCCTTCACGATAGCCTCGGGCGAGATATACGTACTGATTCATTTGCTATGACTAGGACTCTGGAAGGATGCTACACCAGCGCATTCCAAAAGAAACACCAAACACGATGGTCCGACAACGGGCGACGCCAGCAAAAAGAGAATGAGTCGCGCCGCGCTGTGCCGCGTGGGTAAACAACGAAGGATGAAGAAAGTTACTCCGTATTGCTGATTTGGACAAGGGGAAACATGTGGCGTGTCTCGGAGTGGAAAATGGCTTGAGGCGTCGAGAAAGTCGCAGATGAGATTATTTTATCTATGTACTATTCTCTTGGCTTGTCTATATTCCCATGCAAGCGCGTTTTCATGTCAAAAGCGGCAGTCTGGCGGATGCGACCCCTGCCAAGTCCATATTCTTGGGGATAGCCTAGGGTGCTATACCCATCCGATAAGATGAAATTCCTTGTCATGCATTCCGAGAAGCGTCTATCGCGTTTGTGTCCCTTTTTTGCGTGCTGTTGTGATGCTGCGCAACGGCGTTGGCTTCTGGCTTTGGGCGCTTCGTGCCAATGCGATGTCCATCGAGAGTTGAACTGTATCCGCTTCGTGCTGCCATTTGAGGAGTTTCAAAGTTATGGAAGAAAGGATGACGGTCTGATCCATCGGTTGAAGATACAGCACGGTTCACGCCGGGGATGTCACCCATGGTCTCGACTCTGGGTTAAAGCCTGAGCAAGAATAATGAAGCTGAGCTGAGACAGTTATACCGGCACCTTTCCACCAGTGGATTCAACCACGGAGGTGACGTCTTCTTTGAGCTCTGGAATAGCATTCGAGACCTGCCATGCTAGTTGCTCTTGCAGCATCCGATATGCATCGAAGCGCCCATTCAGCATCTGATTCATCCGCTGCACAGTCTCGACGAACTCGCGGGTGAATATATCGGGATTCCTGGAGTTTTCGACATAGGACATGACCTCAGGCGGTATGTCGATTTGGATAGAAGGTGCGGTCCTGGCCAGCTTGACTAAGTTCTGAACGAGCGACTGGCTGTAGACGCGTCAGTCTCAATGGTCGGCCTAAATCCAGAGCATATTTCGCACATCTCACGCTTCATAGCCTCTTGTGTTGTGTTTCCATGGTGATCATATGCTTGCACGATGAGGTTGTAGAGGTTCTGTACGATGTCCTTCAGCTGGGCCTCGACCTCGACTATCGCCGCTACAAAGAGCATGAGCATGTTAACCCAAGAGCGCACTCGATGACATACATTCAGGGCTTAGGTTTGCCATGTTGGTGCTAGTAGTAAAGGCTATGAAGTTTGCTGAGTGTAGGGTTGGCGCGTGAAAGCGCGTTCGAGGTTGGAGATGCCAAGCCTCGGCTAGACTTACCTACCCAGCCCGATAGGCTGTCGTCATCGCTCACTTTACCATCACCTTTCTGTTTCCACAACGACTTCTATCGCCCGTCATCACGTGTTGAACCAGTTGCTGAGTACAGGTAATGATGAAAAAATTGTTGCGATGACTGAGAATACGAGCCGGGATCCCGATGTCCCCCTTTCGCAGCCATCAGGACTTCAGGCCCCAGCGCTGTCTACTTCCGGAGCTCCCAGAAGCAACCACGCAAACCATCCTCGTACTGCAAGTCCCACTCGATCAGCCGACTCGCAAAAGCCTCAGCCAGATACTACTTCGGATAGAGCGACTGCAGCGTTTATTCGACGGACCCTATGCTCTCACAACGTGCTGCTAAACAACGGTGAGAAAGGACGCAGTACCCCGCGGCCAATCGAGGACGTTCTACCGCCTTTGACGAGCTCAAATGAAGTCGACCTCCAGCTATACGGCATCATTTCGGTGATCATCAAGGAGTTTGTACAGACGTGGTACTCGAAGATCACTCCAGACCAAGTCTTTGTCAATGAGGTGATCCAAATCATCGCTCATTGCACCCGAGGCCTTGAGCAGCGGTTACGACAAGTCGATTTGGAAGCACTGTTACTAGACGAGATTCCCGAGTTACTCCAAGCCCACCTGCGCTGTAGGTAATTCCGATCCTGGACAGTTGCATGAAGCGTGTCTAATGGCCTGTGGTTAGCTTTTCGCATTGCGAAGCATCAAGCCGCCTCTTTGGGTTCGCTAATAGCAGATCCTCGTACGATTTATCATACGCTTCATCCGCACCCTGCACTGTCTCCTGTCCCCACCGAAAGCGTGCCGGCATCAATCCTTGAACAGCGGGAGAGCGAATCTGCATGGCGTCAACTGCTTGTGCACGGCGTTTTGGCACTGCTCCTGCCCACTGAAGATCTCGAAAATGGGTGTCTTCGTGCGCTAGTTGCCGAGATCTTCGCCGAAATGATACTCGGAAGCGGCATTAGCGGAAAGGCGTGTGAGGGCTGGGTGCTTTGGGAGGGTATCACGAGCATAGCTGAAGTGTTACAGACGGATGATGGGAAAAAGAAGGACTCCCAATCAGACGAGGTGAACGGAGAGCAGTCGTTGACCCGTCTCGAGCGCTACGGGCTTTTGCCGCACCAAGGGGCGGAGGCTAGATCGAAAGAGCAGCTGGACGGTGAAGAGCAGAGTCATAAGCAGGCGAGGTCAGACATGAGTGGGCTCTTCTGGACGGTGGTGCAGTATGCATTCATGGCGTTTACTGCGGCGCGCGCGGCGATGCTGTGTCTTGCAACATGCTCGTCCCTCCCGTCGAGGTTTGCCACAAGCGAGCAGTCATCGGACCAAGGCTCGGGCCAATTGGAAATGGCGCAAACGGAGACGGCGAGCTCGAAGCGCCCAGCGGGAGCCAAACGGGCTGTAGTAAGCATGGCTCTGTGGAGCTGTGCAGCGCAGATTGTTGAGCTGGACATGCGCATGCCTTGGCTGGCGGGCTTCATGTCGATGGCCCATCGCGGAGCCGTGGCCGGGCCAGGCAGGGTGGGCGAGACGGACGGCGCATTGGACAGGTGAGTGACGATGATATCTTCTTTCTCTGCGGACCTGGCGCCATGGTTGGCCCGTCTCTGGGAGCGTTGCAGGCCCGTGCGGCACAGGGTGCGATGGCTCCGCATGCGATTTCAGTCACTTGACTTCGCTTCAGCGAATGCGACGGCCCGCAGGCTCTCACACCGGAAGACCCTGGGCGTGGCGCATCATCTCATGCAAGCCTCGGCACCCGTTCCGGGCGGCAACTCGACACGTTTTGGACATGGCGACTTGGCACCCTTGGCCCCTCACTCTGGCCAAACACCACACCATCTGCCATCGGGGCCACATCGACAGCACAACTTCCCGCCCGCGCACGCAATACGACGGGGCGGCTTGCAGAGGGCCTGCACACGCTAGGCCATCTCACCGTTTGTCGCCCGTCGGCACTGGCCGGACGCGCTTGGGTCGACGGCATTGGTCGACCATGCCATCCCGACCATGCCACCATGGGCGGCGCCAGCTGATGACGCCTCGCTATTCGGCCTCGACGCCCTTAGCGGCCTGCAACACGGCTGCCGTCATCTTGCCGTCCAGGCCATGCCGGCAAGCATGCGCTTCACTTGCTCAGTGCGCCCTTGTCCGATCTGTCAATTCGTCCAAACACGGGACGAATGGCAAGGCTCCCAAGCCTCTGGGTACGGCTTGAATGGGTTCAAGAGTGCGACGCCTTGAGTCGCCCTCTGGTAGGGCCAGTCAATCTCGCTTGACATGGGTATACGCCTCACTTTGTGGACCGCAGTGGCAGCAATATCCCTCTCCACCCTGGACCGGCCCATTGGCGCTATGCATTGCAGCCTCCGTCATATCCAACCACGAGCTGCCCGTCCCGCTGACTGATTTACCCATCGAGGCTACTACACACGCATTCGTGCTGCTTTGCACCAATTGGATGCTGCTGTCAATGTCCTGCTTCCGGCACTAACCACGAGCATGTGCAGATTCCTCTCCCATACTATACACACACGCATTCTCAACCCCGCTTTCCTCCCAGTGGCGCTTCGCACGCTGCGTGCAACTCTTTTCCCAAACAACGCGCCCGGGCCCCCACGCCAGGTTCCAGCAGACGACGAGGTCAAGGCCATCAAGCACTGCTGTGCCACGACACTCCTGAATCTAGTCCCTCCCAAGGTGGCATCGGCCTTCTTCGCGACCTACCAGCGCGAAGCCCAGATTCAACAAATCGAAGACACTCTAGGCTGTCTGGATGACACGTACCTCAACAAGCATCTGATTTTCCAAATTGTGGAATTGATTGTCCTGCGCCTCTTCCCCGAATTGGGCGAACAGAGCGTAAAGGATCTTCTGGAAGAGCGTATCAGCTGATACGGCCTTGATACAGTGACGAAACTACGCCCCGGTGCTGAGTACAGTACATCGGTGCTCGTCTTCCTACCAAGTCTCACCGCTAGGTGCGCGAACTGCTGGGCACGGCCCGTTGCGCACTTATCACTGCTTGCACCGTGTTCAGATGATCAGAAATCGGGTTCTACTGGGTTCCTGGCCGCATACATGCTTCCTCCACGCACAGGGTGTGGCTACAGGGCAGCGGCAATAGCGACAAAATTGCAGCTACACAATGTACTGTCATGTATGACCAACTCATCGCGCATCCCATGGTGAGATGTGGTAGGAAAGGTACACCGCTGATCCTGGTAAGAGGGGGGCTGGCCAATGAAAAAATTCACCTGGGAAAATTGTTGAGGCACATGGCGTCCAGACTGCGGGCTGCCTGCATGCGGCGGCGACCACCTGACTATTCGGGGTATTGCCGAACGGGACGTACAAGGACTGTACCACGAGATACCCCACAGCAACGCTTGACCCTCGAACCAGCAGTCTCCAGCCAAGTTGCCCCGGGTGCTGCACCAGCTCATGCTTGGAAATATGTATGGACATGTAGCAGGGGAACAGGAGCCCAGGGCATGCGTGCAAGCAGCGCTTAGATAACCCGCATCTCAGCCGTTCGACGAGCGCAAAAGTTCCCGTGTCAGCGAAGCGGATGGGCGGGGGTAAATGAATGACATTACAACCGGCCGCCCCCCAGAAGCCGATATTGCGTGACAAACGACACAGCAGCAGCAACCAGCACGACGACATGGACCTTGCTCTGCTGCTACAGTACTAGTGCTAGTTCAACCCGAGCATCCTGGGAATCCTCTACACATCTTCACGTGCCGAAAAGCTGCCTTGACACGGCCCCACATGTCCTTGGGCTGAAGACCCACCACGCGACATGTAAGTATGTATCTGATAGCAGACTTGGCTCGGGACGCTGCTGTGAACCACAGCTCACCGCGGAGCATGCTTGCCGCCGCCGCCACCAGTCAGTTCTCGACCACGCTCTTTGACGTGGAGCGGTTTCAAGTTCAAATATAACTCCACCTCCTTTGGACCACGTTTCGGCTATGCTATAGCAAGGACGCATATTGGTAGAAGCGAAGGCAGGCCATGGAGTTTAGGTTTTCAAAGGGCTACCCCGCATGGGCTTGCAGCCCTCGGTCGTGTCCTAATTATCGCCCTCGCCCGGGGATGCCGCACTGTACCTGATAAGCCATGGCTAGTGCGGCCAGGCTGTTTCAAGATATTCGTGTTCAGTTGGGCAGCAGTTGCGCGCAGAGAGGCACAGTGCCCGAGGCTGTGTCGTTGTGCGGCGCAGTTGCTGAAGCTCTCTCACCCTTTCTCGTCCTATCGTACAAGGCGCGCGCTTTGAGGGCGCGTGCGTAGGACCCCAAAGTGCAAGTCGCCGCCTGTACCCGCTTTTCTCGACGTCACTGTGGATGAGGCTTAGATGGGGAATGACTCGCTGCACTAGGATGACCGTTGAAACTTTGGTCCTCTGAGGTCTGGAGACGGGCAAGGAATCCTGTCTCGGGTACGTGTGCGAAACCGCGCGATGCGCACACTACGAAAAGAAGCAAGATCCTAGTACAAGCACCCGCCACCCAGCATCTGACAAGATGCGACGTCGCCTGTTCCTGGAAAGTGCGGAGTATAGGACAAGGATTTCTGGAGTTGAGCAGCCTTTGCTTCCCGGCGGTCCTAGCGCCGCAAATTCTCCAGCATCTCCCATGCTCCCTGGCTAACCGATTGGTGATCAGGGGGCGGAAACGGGCATCAAGGCTTCCAGCTCGGCCCATGCTCCAACGGTTAAACAGCTGGGAACGCCGCTTCAGGGCAGCGGCGGGGCGTTGGCTCGGAAGATGCAAAGCATCACCCGTGGTTGGCAAAATGGTACCAGGTCAACCGAACCGAAGTTTCGCCACCTCTTCGTGGGGTAGGGCAGCATGAGGTTTCCAATAATGCGGCGTACGGCATACTCAGCAGATGAAACCAGCAGCGAGGGCATTGGTGGCTTTGGGGACGCCTCACCTATTAAAAGAAGCACAATATTGGCAGAGGGAGGGATGAGGCAGTCGGTTGCAAGGCATGGCATGATAGCAGTTAGGCGTTTAAGTAACGACGGCACACGAGCACGACGCGCATTCGGTCAATGCAGGCCATTTCCTTCTGCTGGGCAGTGGTAGTACGTGCAAGACGACTTGATGCACCTATGCCGTCTTGTTGAAAAGGGCGTCACACTCTTCGAGTCACGGACGAGCTCGTCTGACAGGGCGTGCAAGACGGACGTTATACGTCAGAACGACGGGCAGGACAGGTAGCACTTGTTCTCGTCATATGGAACGGCAATGCAAATCAAGCAGGGAGTTGCTTGGATGTCGTACAGGGTGGCGCCATCCAGGCCCGTCATAGCCCGCCGTCAATGCCACAGCTAGCACATATACTACAAGTGGTCTATTGTCTTACCCGCCACACGTGACACGACCCAGCATATCCCCCCTCTCTCTCTCTCCTTCTAAGGACTGGGTGTAGCGAGCATGACAATTTTTCTTTCTTTCCCGCAGCCATGAGCCGTGCAGAAAAAACTTGGTCGTGTTATGCGCGTGTCAAAAACTGTCGTGCACATGTCACGACCGAAATGTCTAGCCTCTGCAATGCCTGTATGTACGCCCCAAATCCTGCTTAACCGGTCCGAACCACCTTTGCCCATGCTACGTTGCACAGCATGGAATGCTGGTCACGTGGTGTGGCTAGCACGCAGGTACACGACATGAAGACCATGTCTAGGAAAATAATATGGTAATGTGACTTTTTTTTCCACCTTCTTTCTTGTTGCGCGCGTTGCCATTTCTCGACAGGTGCCAGCGCATTGTGCATGGACATGGCCACCTAGTCACTGTTTGATATCGTACGTAGAGGGATGTGTGTGTGTGCGGGGGGGTGGGGGATATCTCGTCTCCCCCAAACGTGAATTAAAGCGCCCCCACTCCCCCCTCCCCCCTTCCCCATCATATTCCTTATTCGTGCAACGCGTATTGGGTAGTTGGGGCTGCACAAAATCAAAGTGCAGGTTTGGGCATATATGTAATAGACGGCGAAGCGAGCTCAGCTGAGCCGGCGAGAGAGTAAGAGAGAAGGATCTGCGATAATTAACTTTTGTGCGTCGCGTCTAATGTATACTATCTACTACGAGTAAGAAGAAGAAGAAGAAGTGGTGGTGGTGGTGGTACGTCCGGCGCAGTAATCAAAGAAAATCATAATCGTCATAATCATGATACTTAATAATAATAACAATCAAAAAAAAGATGGCTTCCGGCCCCCAACTTGCACCCACAAACGCGCGCCCACCAACCCCCAACCAAACCCTGCGGCAACTCATGCTGGGGGGGTTACTGGGTATATGATTTTTTTTCATTTGCCCGCGCAAACCCGAAGGGAAGGGTTTGCCCACGGGTTGCCTTGTTGCGTCAACGCGATCAGCGGGATGCATGATCTAGAATGCATATCGCAGGTGGCCTTTTTTGCTTTCGTACGTAAGAGCAGAGGGCGCGCGACAATAGAGTTTGGAGTAGGACCGAAGGGCAGGAAGCAAGGGCTGCCGTCAGGGCGCAAAAGTCTATGTTAGCTAGATGCGTACTTTGTAGTTAGTACTAGTTTACGGCTGTGGTTATGGTTGGTGGGTGTCGCCGATTGGCGCGGCCTCGGCTCCATCTGGTTGTCGTCGTCGTACTACACCTGTCAAAAGGACAGCCACCACCACCACCGCCCCATTCCCTAGTCAGCGTCGCACAGAGTCAACAAGCATGTATCTTATTAGCAGGGCGGCCTCCGGATGACACTAAGAGACAGAAAGAGAGAGAGAGAAAGACAAGAAGAGAAAAAAAAAGGCATGCTCATCATAGTGCTCCTTTGCGATGGTCTCTGGTCGCCCAACCTCGTATTCCAATCTCACTACTACCATTAGAGAGCAGGAGAAAAAAAAGGTTGGCCCCCCATGGTGATGATGATGATGATGATGATGGGATCGTCCGCGCCATTTGGGGGGCAGAAAAACCTTGCGGCAGCACTCTTCCGGCATCGGTCCGTACCGCGCCGACGTATAATACACACCACATGCACACACCTCGCAACGGCTGGCGCACGCGCGCCCGTACATACGCGCAAAAGACGCACAGCTACGTAGTTGTCGGCGAGCAAAAAGAGGAGAGAGAGAGAGCGAGAGAGAGAAAAAGGAAGAAGATATGCGGCCGACAAGATGCCGAAAATGAGCAACCATTCACCTATAGTTTGCGGAGGCTTGGATTGTCGGTGGGTGGGGTGGGGGGGGGGCTTTCTTTTGCTTGCCTAGTCGTACTCGGCTTTTCTCCCAACGTCTCTCTTTTTCTTTGTACAGCCATGCTTGCTTACCAGCAATATGGGGCGTTTGCGGTGTGCAATCTTGCTTTTTTGGTGCGTGCGTATGTACGTGTCTGTATGAGTGTGTACCCTTGAGGGTCATGGTGGTTGTGGCTTGCTATAGCATACCAGCTTTCGCCATAATGCATGCCAATAAACGTCCAACGCAGCGAAGCAGCCAGGGAAGGTGCTTGCTGACGGGGAAGGTTTGAGCAGAAAGAAATAAAATAAAATAAAAAAAGGACTATATCGCAGACATGGCGAAAAGAAAAGAGACAACTAAAAAGAAATTATGAAAGCGGAAACCAAAACTTTCATAACGGGCTACCTGCGTTAGCGATGCTGCGCTTCTTGCTTGATCCAGCGTGTTCCGCGCTTCCCCGTCGCTCGGCAGTGGAGGCAAAGGAGAAAAAAAGAAAGTATAAAAACAAAGTCCGAGTCAAACGCAGAAAAGGAAACAAAAGGAACGATACTGGGAATAATGGGAATGAACGCATCTTGCTTTTGCGAGGATAAAGGTGCGCGCAACAAAAAAAAGGTGTCTTTCTCTCTACATGTGACAGCGATGACGACACCTCGCCTTTCTGTCTCGCTCTCCAGATAATCCTCGTGGTGCTGCTGGATTATGACAAATATATCGTGGTCCAGGGAAAGAAAGAATCATAATAATGAAGAAAAGAGATTCCCTCTCCCCACTTTCCGAAACTTGACTCGTTTATTATGTAATACCCTGTTCTTATGTGCACATGGGGTTGCCAGATAGCCCTGACGCAGCAATAGCGGAAAGAATAGCGACGCAAAGAGAAAGAGAGAGAGAGAGAGAGGAAGAAAGCGCACACCCCCACCCGCCCATGCCAATCCCGAAATCCCACAGACACAGACACACAGACACACAGCCGGCCCCCCTCTCCCTTCAAACCCGCCTAATCCGAGCATCCGCGCGTCCCCATGGAGTGAAGCTTCAGCGCGCACGCCATGCCATGCTAAGAGGCGACGACGCCAACGACGCTCCGTTTCTGAATTCCCGCAGCACGCCGCGGGCCTCGCAACCCCCCCACCTCGCCTAAACAGGGGTTGGGGGATCCGGGAGGGAGAGAGATTGACAGAGAGCGAGAATGAGAGAAAGCCATGACAGTGCCAAGCACATGCACACGCCCTCCCCCCCCCCGACCAGCCAACCAACCAACCAACCAACCAACAGGAAAAAAGAAGCGAAACTACATTTAGACAGCCCTTTGACAGTCATGCAGGTATATGCGAGGGAGGCATGAAGGAAGGAAGTAAGGAAGGGGAAAGGGAAGGGGAGTAAGGGAAGGGGTGTGTGGGAGGGGCTGCGGAAACAGCCACAGCGTTCGGGGAACCCGGGACGACGCAGACTGGGCTTGGGGATCTGGACCTGGACCTGGACCTGGACCTGGACAAGACAACACGACACGACACGACACGACACGACGCCCATGCCATGCCATGCCATGCCATGCCATGCGACGCGATGCGATGCGACACGATGATGATGATGACGACGATGACCATGATGACCATGGCGAGGTAGCAGCAAAAGCGAGAACCACAAACTCAGTACCACCTAGTTAGCCCCCCGTCTTGTCTCGTGCACTTGTTTTACTGTACATGGAGCCCGTGTCCGTCTATCTGTCTGTCTATCTGTCTGTCTTCCTGTCAATCAGTCAATATGTAGCAGGCATAAAATAAAAGAACCCACATAGTTTCGCATAAGTAATAGCCCATACAAACCATGCTCCTCCCCCCCCCTCCCCCTTCCCAAATAAATCTCAAAATAATCCTAATATCCGCATTTCCATGCCACCCTATCACATCGTGATTCTTTTTCCTTTTTTTTCTGCGCGACGTGTTTGAGGATTTCCCTTCTTGTTCTTCTTTTTTTTAAAAAAAAATCCATTTCGTCATGGCGAGAAGGGGGGGAGGGGGGTTAGATAATTTTAGTAGCTCCCATCCTGTTCCTTTCGTCATATCACCCTTCCCCCTTCCACTTCCCTTGCCTGCTCTCGCCCCCTTCCCCCCGTTCCGCGGTCCCATGTGTCCTTGAGGGGTGTGTGTGTGCGTGTGCGCTGGCCATGTCCCTACATACGAATTGGGCAATATTTTTGCTCCTCCTCCAATCCTGTTCGCCTACAAGGCCATTTTTCTTCCCTGAGATATACGACCCCCAAAATGTGCATGGGCTTACCTCATGGTGCAAGGATCTAGGCTTGAACGGGCGTGTCAAAGGCGGGGAAAAAGGCCGTTTTTGCACCTATCTAGGCCCGACGAGTTGTGCTGTTTTTTTTTGTTCTCTCGACCCATGTTTGAAGCGCATCCAGGATCCCTCTTCCGGGGGCATATGGCTGCGGTGCCCTGTGACGATTTTGCTGGTTTCTTTTTTCCTGCCTCTTCAAACCGGCTGCAACTGGCGGCCGCTACGCGTGGGACTTGTCGGCGGCTCTAATTTCCGAGACGCTCCTAATGTTGTTATTCTGCGTCCCCTGCCCCTCGGGCGCACGGGCCAGGGCCAAGCGGCAAGTACCATCTGTTCACAAGCGCAGACCCATGCCGATCCCGTCTAGCGCGTCAGTGCTGCTCCCGCACCAAACAGCTCAGTGCCCGACTAGGACAAGGGCCAAGGAAAACCTGACTAGTCGAGACAAGAGGCACAATCGTACGTTGTGGTACTGAGAATTAATAGCATTGCAAAGCATGAACCACCCTTACGTTAGGCCGGGAGTATCGGCAAGGGGGGTCAATCAACTATATCGAGCCGCATATGGCGTGTTACAACGGCGTGTACGAAACCCGTTGCTCCCTGCCAGACCCTGTTACTCCAAAGTACGAGGGTACCAAGTAAATAGGAAAATCAATCATCCAAACTGTAAAATGAAGCGTACAGGGTAGTGGCCCGCGCGAGCGGTTACAGTCTTCTTTTGCGAAGTGGATCCAGTCGGAAACAGTGTGCTGCTGCGCGCTGCCAAAAGGGGAGGGGGGTATAGTGGTTCGTCGAGCGATGAAAAGGAAAGAGGAAATAGAAGAGAAGGAGAAAAAAAGCAAAAGACGGTAGCTAGGTCAGTGTAAGGAAGGACTAGTAAATAAGCGACAAGAAATGCTAATGATGCAGAGAGACGGAGATGCGATGCATGGAAACAGGAGAAAAGAAATCAAAATAGTGGCTCCAATGAGCAAATAATGGCCGTCTGGGCCTGTGTGTGTGTGTATCTTGGATCCTGGCCTCATGATCCAGTAGTCGTGTGCAACCCCGCCACACTGAACCCTAGCGAATTAAGAAAAATCGTTGCACAGAAGAAAGTAATCGTCGGCGCACACGTGGTGCAGTAGCCTTTGACGGGACCAGACATGGTACCTGGGTGACGCAACAGCCTCATTAGTGGATCGCATCGACGCTCTCAAGCTTGGTCGTCACAAAGCTCGACTCGGACGCCCGTCGCATGCCCGACGCCAGGCTCTCTGAGCCGCGCTTGATTCGGAGCTTCTCCATCAGCTTGCCAATCGTCACGTACTCTTGTGGCTCAACCACAAAGCCCGCATTCTGTGACTGGAAGAAGCTCATGACAAGCTCTAATGCGCGCGCTGCTTCTTCTTGAGACAGCGTCATGGCCGACGAGTCAACAGGTGAGCCCTTGTCGTCACCATGGCCTGACGCAGCCGGCAAGGGAGGGGGTTGCATCGAGTTGGGGAGCTGAGTCGGTGACAAGGACATGCCCTCGTCAATGGCTGGCAAGGGAGGCATCTCGGTCATGGGAGAGTCGAGCGCGCCGCTACTAACGTACTTGGGAGTCAGCGCATCAGAAGAGCCTGGCGGTGACATGTACTGCTCCACTCCGACCAACATGGGGAAGGTTTGGCTTCGTGGTCGTTGAAAGTTACTCGTCCCCGGCTGGCCGCTGGCGGGCTGGCGATTGCCTATGAAGGGCGTCGGCCCACATGCTGAGTCGGGCGTGAAGAAGGGTGATGAGAGCGACGTGGGGCTGGTAGGACCGGCGGAAAACGTCGACGGCGCCGTATCTGTGAAGACGCTGGACAGTGACGTACTGCTCTGCGAATGGAACGGCCGGCGATGACTCGAAAAGTCGTAGGCATCGGGGCTCTCCGTCTTTAGGTTTTCCTCGCTCTTCTTGGCCTTCATCGTCGCCGTCGCGGTGGCGGGCGATACCCCGCCGGGCGAGGTCGGTGAAATGGCCCCCGGCGTATGCGCGTTGGAAGGCGGGTTTGACGTGCCCTCGGACTCTTCTGCTATCGACCCCTTCCTCGACTTTGCACCCATGAGATGGTTCTTTTGCTTGAACTTTTCCAGCCAGCTAGTGCTGTTGGCCTTGAGGTGGCTCTCCGAGTTGCCAACCGTCTGAGCAAAGAAGCGCGCCTTGTCCCGGATAATGGCATCGGATAGCGGCAACCCTTGCCTCTGGTGGTTCCGGGCCCAGTTGGAGAGAGCACGTTCAATGTCGGGGAATTTGCCTTTGGACCTTTTGATGGGCGAGCGGCTGCCGTCGTCCTGGTACAGGTACTTTTCTTTTTGGCGCAGGACTTTTGAAACGGTACTACACAGCTGTCAGCAGGCGGCAAGACACAGGAGGCGTATGCAGTGGTACCTTCGCTCCACACCAAACATTGCTGCAATGACGTTAGTGACATGGCCGTGGGAATGAAGACGACGGTGGGGCTCAGGACTGGCATACCTCCAATTTCTGTTTGTTTGACCGTGGGGTTGTCCTCGTGGTACTGGCACATGCGGCGGCGGTCGGCGTCGGTAAGCGTCTTTCGGGGCGTTGACGAAGTACGGGACTGGGTCGAAGTGGCCGAGACTGGTGTTGCCGATGCTGGCGTAATGGGGGGAGGAGCAGAGGGGAACAGCGGGGCCTGGTATGTCGACTGGCTGGTGAGCATGCTCGGCCACTGGGGCATTTGCGGCATGATCAGAGGCTGCAGCTGGGCGTGTGTGGTTCTTGTCGTTGGGTGAGTCTGGTGCGGTGGGTGCATGCCGGTAGCGTACATGGGTTCCATGGGAAGTGGCGGGTAGGTGGTGAAGGCATTGTAGTCTTGGACGGGCGACTGGTGGTGTTGGTGATGGTGGTGGGGGTTGTATGCAGCGTCCGGGTGCCAGGCAGCGTGTTGGTCCTCAAAGGGTTCCTGGTGGAGGTGGTGGTCGTGATCCATGTGCAACTGGCTCATGTCGTCTGGCGGCAGCTTGGTAGTGGAGGGCTCTGCGGTGCGAACGGCAGTCGGGGTTATACGAGGCTCAGAGCAGGCGGGCGAACAGAACAGGCATGTGGTCTCGCGGCTACATACATGCATGCATGAGATGAGATTGCGGTTCCTGAGGCGAGACAGCAGCTCAGCAATGCAGCGGAGCAGCGGGGATAGCGCTGACAAAAGGCGGGTATAAAACAGCGCGGGCCTGGGTGTGGAGGGCGGGCTCGGATGGGAGGAGGGAGGGACGGGGACGGGGACTGGGACTGGGACTGGGACTGGGACTGCAGGCGGGCTCTGGCTGGCGCGGCGGGCCTGCAGCGCGTACTTGAGGTCAAGTCTGGGGACGGTGGTAACAGGCCCTGGCTGTGCGATGCGGGCGCGGCCTACTGCAGCTGGCGGGAGAGGAGGAGCCCTGTTTGTTTCGAGCCCAAGGTTGCCGGCAAGCCTGGCGTGTGTGTGTGTGTGTGTGTGTGTGTGTGTGTGTGCACCGTGATCCTGGCCGCCATCCAGCCAAGCGACGAGCTGCAACGTTGGGCTTAGCGCGTGCGGGTCTCTCATCGGGGATGCGCCCCTAGGAAAACGCGGGCCAGAGTTATGCGGCCGCCTGCCCGGCCCTGCCCTGCCCTGCCCTGCCTTGCCCTGTCTGCCTGTCTGCCTGTCTGCCCTGCCTCGACGCCGCCTAGCTGCTGCTGCTGCTGCTCGTCCTCCTCTTGTTCCTCCTCCTCCTCTGCCTCCTCCCACGCCCAAACCACCACCACCATCACCAACCACCACTGCTGAGCACCGCGGCGCCCGGCTAATCTCTCCCCTCCCCATCCCTCCCCTCCCCCAGCACACACACGCACACACTCACGCCCGCCCGCCTGCCTCGCCTCCCGCGCCCGGCGCACCAAGTGCTGGCCGTTGCCGTACCTTCGTGGCGCGAAACAGCGGAGCCTGATTCAGGCGCTGCTCAGGTACGCGAGGGCGTGGCGATTCCCACGGCAGGGGCAGCACGTCAATCATCGCCTGTGCATAAAGGAGAGACAGAAAGTGTCGACGGCTGAAACGCTTTCGGACGCCTGCGATAATCGCGCCCATCACCCACTCGACCGCGCTAGCTTTTGCCGACCAGCCACTCACACCCGCCCAGCCATAATACTTTAGCGCCCGACTGCCAGCAGCGTCGCTGAGTCGCCAGCACCGAGCCACCCCTGTTCATTTCGCTGAATCGACCGCTGCGCCCGTTAGCACACCAATGAGGAAATCCCATGCCATGAAAACTGGGCCAGGCAATGCTGATCTGATTCCATCCAATTCCGAAGCCAATATCCAAAAAAGCAAACCCCTCGACGCGGAGAGCCCCCCTCTTGCGCGACAACACGCCCATGCATACGTACCACCATCATCATCACCACCACCACGCCCTGGCCTCACCACGCCCACCCGCGCCACCACCACCACCCCACCGTTGCCACAAGAGCGCAAAACATGTTGCTGATGGCATAGCCCGCCGACGGTATCGGTCCGCCACTAGTCCTTTGACCCTTAGCGATTGGCAGGTACGATCCGCGCCGTAACCGGCCTTGCCCCTCCTCAATGTCGTCCGTCGTGCTACTGGAACCAGCGCTTGGCCAATACAAGTCGCCAAATCGGCTCCAAGCCTCGCGGCCCTCGTCATCCCTCTGCTGCCCACCTAATCTTGGTATTGCACTGAGACATCTTCAGCCACCCATACGTCGCCTCCACTCGACTCTCTCAACTGCACCTCCACCCGTACCTTTCTTTGCCCGTGACTCTTCCTCTGCATAGCTGCACTCGCCCTCTAGCGTTTGACAATCGTCACTGGCCCGCCATGTGAGCTCGCAAACTCCACTCGGAGGGGCAATGCCAGGGTATACGTACCAATATCCTCGTCGGCCAGTTCATGTGACAGTCCCACGCGCTGGGGCTGATGCTTGCATGATTTTCCGTAAACGATGGCATGCTTGAAATTGTCCACAATCGTCTTGTGAATCGAATTACACTACCCGCCGTTAGCGTATTGTCTCTGCCTCGACCCCAAAGTCATACGAAGTCTTCGACGGTGCATGCGGATGATCGCAATACCACTGGTGCAGAGTAATCCGGCATCCTGCCCTTGGGCTTCGTGTACACGCGCACCAGGTTCAGCTTCTCCCACATTTGCTCCAGCAGCTCGTCAATGTTCCATCCGTGCTCCGAGCTGATAGGGCACGCATTCGGGATCCGGTAAAGCAGGTCGAGCTCCTCGATACTGATTGCATCAATCTTGTTGAGCGCGTAAATGACCGGGATGTAACTCCGACTCTTTGCTTCAATCACGTCAATGAGATCATCCACCGTAGCATCGCACCGAATAGCCACATCCGCATTTGCCATCCGGTACTCGTTTAGCACAGCCTTGATCTCGCCGTGGTCAATGTGAGTAAGCGGGACCGTGGCTGTGATATTAATACCACCCTTGTCTTTCTTCTTCAGGACAATGTTCGGCGGGCTCTTGTTGATTCGGATACCGAAACCCTCCAATTCATTCTCAATCACGCGCTTGTCCGTCAGCGGCTTGTTGACGTCCAAAACAATGAAAATCAAGTGGCACGTCTTGGCCACCGCAATCACCTGTCGTCCACGACCTTTGCCGTCTTTTGCACCTTGGATAATACCAGGGAGATCGAGAATCTGGATCTTTGCTCCGTTGTACATGACCTGGCCGGGCACAGTCGTAAGCTGTTGATGGTCAGCCCATGCTCACCACAGTGCCTTTGCGTGTCCTACCGTCGTGAACTCGTATGCGGCAGCTTCCGAGTGCTGTCCGGTCAACCTGCTCATAAGTGTACTTTTGCCCACCGAGGGGAATCCGATGAAGCCCACACTGGCAACGCCAGTCCTGGCCACGTCGAATCCTACACCGCCACCGCCACCGCCGCTCGAGGGCTCAAGAAGCTCCCTCTTTAGCTTGGCGAGTTTCGCCTTCAGCTGTCCTATTCATATCATGAGCATGCCGCCATGCCATGTGCCATCGGGGCGCCGTACCAAGATGGAAAGAGGTTGCCTTGTTCTTTTGGGTCTTGGCCATCTGCCGTGGATGTAAGTATAGGGCTTCGATCGCTGACTGCGTGCTGTCTTACTTCGGCCTCGATCTCTTTGATCTATGCGACAATGTTAGCAAGCGACACAGCACCATCGCGGCGACGTCAATACCGACCTTGTCCACGGTCGTCGCCATTTTGCCTTGTTGTTTGCTCCTGTTTTGCTCCGGTCGGGCAGAGAGGCGATGTCGTTGTTCACAAATTTGATGTCAGTGACGCCAGCCCGCCAATGACGGAGCGGGGCACGGCGTCCCGGCAGTACTTTTCACCGCCACTGCATGCGGCTAGCGCGGACTGCGGCGCTCCTTCCACGCGGGCTTCTATGCATGCTTCCATAGCTCCTTGTCCAAGCTGTTATGCCCGATAGAAGCCGGTCACTAAGTTTGTGTCGCCGACAACATGCTTCTGGTGGAAAAGCACCGTATGAGGAGCTGCAAAAGTCGGCGACCGCTGACCGCCTCTCCAGATCACAGGCTCAACGGCCCCAGCTTGTTACATAACAAAGCACGCGCGTTCCTGCACATGCGCCCTGGACACACAAGCCCGACTCCCTTGTTGATCCTGAACCTTCTGTATAAAGCCCTACTCCCTGTGCTGTCTCGCCGCCCGTGCAACTCCACGTCTAGCTCTCTTCTGCCCGTCGTCCTCGCACCCAACCGCTAAAATCTGCCGCATATTGTTTCTGAGCACCGCTATCGCCAGCATGATCGGCCGCAACACAGAAGTCGATGAATTCCAGGCTCTGGTCCAGGCCATCAACGAGAAACTCGGGCCCAGCAGTGGCATTGACCCGGCCGATGTAGACGAGAACGAGCTTCAAGAACTGATGCAGGCCTATGTTTCCAATGAATCAGAGTGGAGAAGGTACTTTTTCGCCTCGGACAAGATTCCTTACACACGCAATGTGGTGGACAAGGGCAACGGCAAGAGCAATCTGGTATGACTTGGACCGTCCTGCTCACCACGACCTGCTAACAAGACAAGCTCATCTTGGTCTGGGGGCCCGGCAAGAAGAGTCCAATTCATGAGTAAGTCAATGTGTTCTGTAGGGATTAACGCTAGTACCCACCGCGTGGTCCTTGTTCGCTCCGAAGACCCCGAAGACCCCGAATCCACAACCGTAGTCCATGGCCTCAGTCTTCTGCACGATGAAGCGACTGTGTTCGCCGGTCTTTCGATCGTTGCGTCAGTACAGAAGACATGCCGGTAAGACGAAATGTTTCGGTAATCCGTCCATCTCGCGAGGGAATGGTGTTCAATGTCGGATTGGCATTCACCGACATATGCGGCTCCACATCCGATCGGGATGCTGACGCTGCATAGTCACGCCAACGCACACTGCATCATGAAGGTACTCAAGGGCCACCTCACCGAAACTCGCTTCAATATTCCCACAGACGACGACATTCAAAACAAACGCCCCATGACCAAGATACGCGAAACAACATACTCTGAAAACGAAGTTACGTACATGGCAGATACTTTGGGCGTGCATTGCATCTCCAATCCAGACCTGACTGATTATGCTGTCTCTCTGCATTGTATGTTGAGTCCGTTCATCTGGTGGTAGGCTGCTTTTTAACCGACTGCAGTGTACACACCGCCTAATGCAGCCACATACGGATGTAATGTGTTCCATCAAGACACTTCGGGAGTTATCCACAACAAGCAATGCCACTTTTATTCCGAGTATGGCGTCAAGGTGAGCAAGGATTGAAGCATCAATGTCATGGCATGGTGTAAATTCACGGCCTTGGTTTATGAGTCTCTGGTCTTATGACAGAGGCGATTACAGAGCTCCTTATATAGGATGCGTATGAAGAAATGATGACAGGAGTTTGGTTACATTGACAAATTGGGCAGCATAGGTTAACGACGATGGAAACAATTCGAGAGCCATAGGTGTTTAGTGTTTTGGGTCCCGTAACGATAATGAATTTTATTCTCTATTCCCTTCATATTTGTCTCACACTTTGTATGTCCCATCTTGATTAACACGTAAGTAATACTAACGTTGTTCACGACCTACAAGATCCAATTCCTCAACCCATACACTCCAATATAGTACAGAAAACACACGTATCACCAGCCACTCACTCCACAGTCCTCAACCCACACATAACCAGACAAAACCAGGCACTGTCACATCCCCGTTAAACCCCATGGCCCACATACCAGTCTAGTCGTACGGACGCTTCCCCTCATCACCACCAATCCAATCTCAAAAACTCACAATTTCCCTTCTCCTCGCCCCAAGCAAACATCCATGCCCCCCCCTTCCAACTACGCACACTCACCTCACACCAGACAAACAATCAACCAAACAACCCTCAACAGCTAACCTAACCCAGTCCACGTACGCCCATCGTCTTCGCACCACAATACAGACACGCTAGTCAAACAAACCCGCATGCGTACCTTGGAAAACTAGATCCAGATTTCGTAATAAAACCACAGCGCAGTTTTGCGTATCAGCGTGTATATATTCAGTGTATGACGACTCGTTGGTTGTTTGTCCTACGCATTCAGGCAGGTAGGCGGGTAATTAGTTGGGTTCCTCTGGCTTCTTGCTGGCGAAGTAGTAGTAGTATCATTATCGCTAGTATAACGGGGGAATAGTACAAGTCCGAGTGTAAGTAGACGACGGTACTGTACTACTGTCTTGTATACAACTTGGATAAATGTACATAGTTATGGTGTGTTCTAAAGGACACTTGTAGATTCTGATGGGTGATGCATGGAGTACATATGAACGGATTTAGTTTAGTTTAGTTTAGTTTTGCTGGGTCTGTGGTACTACTACGTTGAACACGTTTTTCTTTATAGCTCGTTTAAGGCTGAAACGGTATAGGGAAAAAAAAATAAAATAAAAATAAAGGGGCTTTTGTGGACTTGGAATGGGATATACGTCGAGGTAAATCGTATACATGGGGCGGTTGTGTATTTCGTTGGAGAAAGAGAAAGGGCGAGAAAAGAAGAGAAAGAGAAAGAGAGAGAGAGAGAGTAAGTGGGTTTAAATTTTTTTTAAAAAAAAACAGAGACGGAATGAAAGAAAGAAAAACACACGTATATTACAATGTAAAGAAGGAAACCCATATCAAGTGTGAACAAGACTATCAAGCACAAAAACACTCCTATTCCCATCAATTCATAAACTGAATTCATCAAGAAGAAAAAAAAAGGTACGTAGGTTTCTTCTTGTTCTTTTTTTTTCTTTCCACTGCCAAATGCTCTTTGATATATACATTTATCCCCCCCCCCTCCCCAACAAACTCACACATATATTCCGCTCTCTCTCTATGCATCTTAGCTATCTCCTACTGCTACTCCCACGCCTACTCCCATGCTCAAAGAACCAACGACAAAGAAAATAGGAAAAGAAATCAAGAAAGAAGAAAAGAAAACAGAAATGTATAAGTAGAAGAAAGAAAGAAGAAAAAGAAATACACATTCCATATTCCTACGGCCCCGCGAAACCAATTTCCTCTCTATGATCATCCACAACCCTGCCATACTCGAGCAGGAGTCTAAAAAACCACGCTTCAAAGTCGACGTTCCGCAACACCTTGTTGTGCCACTCGGTGCTCCTACTCGCAATCTCGCGCGCCTTGATCTCGCCCTCTGTATTGCCGTTGCCGCCGCGCTTTCCGCCATCGGCGTCGCTATGATCGAGTTTGGCGTCGCCGTCTGCATCCGAGACTTTGGTGCCGCTGAACCAGCGGACGAGGTCGAGGTGTTCGTCGCCGCGGAGACTGAGCGGGATGTAGTGGACCCAGGGCTTGAGCCATTCTGCGTGCCACTCGCGGAAAAGCGCCATTTTGTACGTGAGGCTGCGGCTCTTGAGGAAGCTGTAGAAGCGGCCGGAAAAGGCGTTGCCGTCCATGTCGAGGAGATGCTTGTAGTACCATGCATCTTGGCCGTCGACGCGCTCCGTGACTTTGAAGAATTCTTCCTGCGCGTCGCAGTCGCCCGGGTCGCATTGCCCAATGTGGGAGAAATGTACGTCGATTAGGCCCTTGAGAGCCCGGCGCTCAACCTCGGCGATGGTGTAGTTGGTGATACCGGCGTTTGATTTGGACGTGCTGCGAACTGGTTCAAGGATCTGGGCTGTATCGGGCGCATTGAGACGCCGGACAACATGTTGGCGGTGTTGGCGTCTCCAGCCGCCGTTGCGACTGAAGCCCCCTGTTGTGGAGCCGCGCCAGTAGAGACTGTTTGTCTTGTTCTCCCAGGTCGTGTCACGCGTTTCATCATAGCCTACCTTGCCCATCCAGTACCATGGACTAGGATACAGAATGTCTTGAAAGCTGGAAATCTTGGATTGCGAAAACACGGGTGTAAGCTCGTGAATGATGTTGAAGGCGTTGGGACGTTCGAAGAACCCATATGTCGAGGAAAGCGAGGGTGAGTTGCAAATGTCGGAGAAGGCGGTTATGTTGTAAATGAAGCCAAGATCGCTGGCAGCATACGCTTTGCGATTGTCGGCAGCGTAGTCTTCAAACGTCTGAGCTTGCGAGTCCGCAGGACATGATAGTCTGGAGTGAGTCCAGGTCTGTTGATGTGCAAACCGATTAAATTTTGTGGTGCTGCTTTCAACGAAGCGGGTACCATCGTTCAAATCCGCCGGGCGGGTAGAGAAAGCGTTGCGAGGCGAGGAATTCTTTGCAGAACGTGGAAGGACTTCATCTCTTGCCTTGGCAATCATCGAGGAAAGCAGGTTGTTGGGCACAACCACTCGTGGTTCGTCGTGCAAGTTGAAGCCCAGGTCCATGTCGGGCAGATACTGGACGAAATTCTTCATCATGCCGACGGTGGCTTGCTGCTGCCACTCCTCGCCATTTTGGTAGTTTTCCACTGCCCCATGTCTTATTGCAACAGCCAGCAGTGAACTGTCTTCATGACCCAGCGCGTTCGCAATGCGTGACCGGATTGTTGCTGGTTTCAGTGCCCAGAACGGGAGCAGCATCTCATTGATCATGTCATATTCGTCCACCATTACGACGCCATTCCGCCTAGCAAACTCGTACCACTTGTCAAAGCGTGGAGGTGGCGGTATCCCGTACCTACGCCGGTATTCCGAGACGGCTTCAGCTAGCGATTTAGACTGTCGATCAAGAGTTCTTTGAAAATCTGCTTCTGCTGCACTGATCAGCTGAGCAGCCGGGTGCCCTTTGGTCATATCCATCGGTACTGGGCCCAAAGGCGTCCCGGAAGCAGCTTCGGGCGGAAGGAGAAATCCGTCGGGTTTAACGGGCTTCGTTTGCGGTGTACTAAAGCGTCCGAACAGTAAACTCCCAACCGTAGCCACAGTAGCGAGAATGGCGACGATTTTCAATCCCCTAGAACGTCGCATTTCGCCTGCCTCTCTCGAGAGCTTCTCTAGCAGATAGACCAAGGCGGTTGAGCCGAATATGAGAATGAACAAGACAATGGAAAACGATGGCGCGGAGAACAATTTCACTCCGAGGAGCGCGAATACAGTTGCTAGAGTGACATGTCCAGCACTCGTCAAGTAGAGCTGCGACCAATTAGTCAAATCAAGCCATCTTTACAGGGAATGCCGAGTATAGCAGAAGCACAGGGTTTGGGGATGACGTCGGGTTTCAGGTCAACACAGCCAGTGTGACGAATTTGTTAGGGTTACGACATACCAAGATGAAAGTAAAAAGGTTTCCAGCCGCATTCACAGGCAGCATCCACAAGAAGCGCTGGAGAATGCGGAAGTTGTGTACGTCTCTCCACTCCCGGTTGTAGTCCCGGTACATGGGTTCCCATGTAATGCTACTCGCAGTCAAGGAGGACTCCATAAGAACAGATCCGACACCGCAGACGACCGCAATGGCCATGGCGACGTCTCTCAGCGCAGCCAGTCGCTGTGCTTTTGCAATGCCCACTATCGAAGCGCGAAGTTCAGCAGCCCCCGGCATGGGCCTGCGCTTGGTATCTTCGCCCTCGTCCGCCGCCGCCGCCATGACGACGGATTTGAACGTAATGAGACCAACGGCCGCAAAGACAGCACTACTGAGTCCCAGCATAAAGGTAGCAGGTAGAGTGTAGACGCCCAAAGCGCCGCTCGCGCAGACGGTCAGGACAATCAAAGTCCCAAACCGGTCTATGTGGCCCGACCCTTCCACAGGGAGTCTTTTCTCCGTCGCATGGTCCTCGGGAAGCGTGTAGGTGGGCAGTGCGAGGCGCTTGGCGAGCAGCTCACTGTCGGCGAAGACATTTGTGAAGAAGAGCAGGAGAGCCTGCGTACAAGGTCAGCGCGTGAAGAAGCAGAGCATTATTTTTTCTCCCCATGGGCCGCCTACCTTTGTTGCCCAGATGCCCTGCTTGTCGCACGCCACGCGGTCGCATATTGCTGAGAGGCCCAAAAGTGCGCCGGCCAGCCAGGCGGCCTTTCTCTGTGCGCGGCTGGCGTTGGAGTAGATGCCGACCCAGAAGACGACGGGCACGCATAGTGTCAGCCAGGAGATTGCGGTTACGAGCAGCGAGTGGTGGGTGGGCGTGTGGACGGCGGCGAGAGCCGTGAGGACGATATAGAGCGGAGGAGCGAGCAGGAAGAGGGCGTCACGGTATTTGGCGACATGATCGGCAAACGTGGAGACGGCTGGGCGCATTGGAGCAGAGGGTGGGGTCAGCGCTCGTCGGAGGGCATCGAAAGGTCTGGTATGCGGCGAGTCGTGGTTGTCGAGGGCATCATCTGGCGAGCGACGGGCCTGAGAGAGCGCGGCGGCAGTGGCCGTTGCGGCCGATCTTCAGGGTCGCCGCGCTGCGTGACGCCATAGCTTCCACCAACCCGCGCCTGTTTCCCGCGCCACCACGCCGCCCAGTGTGCTGATAGGACACGGGTGGGAATGTTTGGTTTAGTTGAAGGCATGGTTTGGGCCATTGGCTGGACAACATTTGCCAAATCGCCATGGCTGCAATAGGTGTAAGTACATGCACATGCACATGCAACCAATACATATCCACGTGCATGGAAATGCAGGGCCATACGAAGGATGGTGCTGCATTGCCATCTCGAATTCATGAGAAACGTAGCACACAGATCAAGGCCTGGGGTATTGGCTATTCCTCCAAGTATGGCTCGACCATCCGTCGTAGTGATGGAAAAGGGGGGCTGAGCAGCTAAGCAGGTACCAAATCTGAAAGACTAGTACAAGAATACATGGGACTTCCAACGTCATTTGGTAGTCTGCAGTATACAGTCGTCTTTCTATGTACTACCTACTTACACCAAAAATATGTACGCAAGCCTCAGCCTCGGGCGCTCAACCCATTGCTCTTAGCTCCATCTCCCGCCCATGCCCCCCAACACCAAGTCCCCAACCATATCCAACACAGCCCCGTAAATACGGCGGTACAAAACGCCACCTCCACGATCTGATTCTTATCTATCGGGGTACATTCTAAATATAACACGGAAAGACTCTACTAGCATCACCACTCCCATTCAGGTATACCGCAAGCAGCGCGTAGCCGTAGCCCTCCATGTATGCTGTCATAGCTCGAGCAGAAAACGCGCGTCAATGCCTTTTGCATCATCTCGATACTTAGTAACCTAGATGAGCTAGCCAGCTTCACAAAAACACGCGCTCTTCTTCACCTACACAGCACCAACAGCACAATGTCAACTCGGCTACCCCAGCTAATCAACTAGACCCAAAAATTCCTCTACTTAACGTATAACTAATTCCACCCATCTCATACTCCCT